TGAAAGATTTGGAGTAATGTTTTGATATTCGAATAATTCTATCGAATATACTTAGAAAATCATTTGGAAAATCTTAAAATTCATTTAACTTAATTTGTTATATCGAAATATCAAAATGTTTTCAACAATAGTGTTGCTGTCACTACAGAACATATGCTTTCGTTTAGCACTTATGTGCAACTCATGTACCTTGCATTCTCATTCGAATTACATTGGCAAATAAATTGATACTTTGGGAAAAAATATTGATTGATAGGTATGCTGGACATACTAAATATTGTTTCGCAGGTTATGTGAAAGATATTTGGTTTACCAAGCCGGTTTTATGTATTACTATTATTTATACGATTAAATTTGTATTTTGAGATTTTTATGATATGTTTATGTTTTGGTTACGTCTCTTTTATGTTATTATATCTCACTAAGTGAATAATTAGCGTGTGATGATTTTACGTGTAGGTAATAGCATACGAGCGAAGTAAGGAGTGCAGCTGACTTCGTAAATCAAAGGTTGCCTCATCAGTAACTGTATGACACTTATGCCTACTTTTGATATTACTATATGACATGTAATAGATTTATGATGATGCTCTGGAATGTATTGGATTTAGGATGTTGTAGTATTTAATATGTTAGAACTTTAAGATTATTTTACATACTAATAGTTAATGAACATTTTTATGATTACATTAAAATATTTTATTTATAGAAACAAAATTTTACTGGTTTTCAAACACGAAAATGTTTTGAAAGTCATGTGACATCTGTGACTTGTTTACGGGAACATATACGGAAAATTGATGTTACAATTGGTTTTTGATGATGGGTGAAAAATGAAGTAATTTTGGGTTTTAGGGGTTATATATACGGAGGATTAAAGTGAAAATATCAAATATTTAAATTATTTTTGCAGTCCCTGGTAGTTTGAAGTGTAATTCATTTTGATCATCTATTGCAAATTGGCCATAGAATTTTGAATTATTTCAATTTAATCCCAATTCATACTTTTCTATTTTTTGCAATTTGGTTCCCTAACCTTATATTTTTTCCTTGGAGCTCACTTTTAGTGTCAATTTGACCCTAAATCTCAATTTATTCCAATCAAATCCTTGTAAATATTTTATGTTATTTTATTTAATGTTTTTTACTTTTATTTCTAATTCTATTTTTTTATTTTTTTATTTTTTAAAAAATTTAATCTTGTTGTTGTTTTTTAACTTTAATTTCCTTTTTTTAAAGCTATTCCAAAATTCGTCAAAGGTAAGTAATTCAAATCGAATCTTTTAAATTTTAATTTTTGTAATTAAAACAACCGGGAAATTTAATTGGTACAAAAATGATAGTATAATGGTGTTAATCTTTCTTTGACTGTAATCGACTCCCAAATTCAATTAATTTATGGTAAAACACAGATCAAGTAAATAGAAAGTTAAGGTATCCGATCAACCTAATTTTAAATAATTGGTGGCGACTCTAACACATTAAATTTAAGTCAAAATCCGATTCTAGGCTCACCCGAAGGACGACGAGATAATCTATCTATTTTAGATGTCGTGCCCATCCATAAATAGTGGGGGGAGCGTAAAACATAAATTGTAGGGTGGCTTGACCCAAACCACCCTCTAAAAAGACGAGGATGGGTGACATTGATGAGTCATGCAAATTAATTACGTACCACCCAAAAAGTGAAATTGAATGGCTCCCCTTTTCTCTCCACTCGTCAGTTTCGCCGGTCGGAGCCGCCCATTACAATCCCACATGGCACGTGCACCGCCCCGAACCTGCTTCCTGACCTGATGCTTTGGATCCCCCCTTTTATGTTGACACGGTCAAAACATGACCCAGATTTTAAGCACACTCATGTGCATTTGCCGGGGTTCACGTATAGCACACCTCTATTCATATATTTTGATGATTAATATTAAATAATTGATCACGCCACTAAATATCGTGAATTATTATATCAATATTTATAATTTAAAAATCGTTGAATAAAAGATTACATTAAATTTATTTTCTAAATTGATTATTGTAACATGCATGAGGAGACGGGTTAAATCAAGTTTATGTACTAACATCTTTTAATTTATGGGTGGATGCACCATGAATTACGAGTAATGATAGAACAAGGTAACCTTAATAGAACATTGCCTCAACGTGGAAGGTAGAATATCCACAAACTCGAATAGCAAAAGAAAAGGGAAGACAAATGAGGAAAACGTTCTAATAGTGTATAAATTTGAGATAGTAAGAAAATCACTTATTGTACAAGTGTGGAGCTTTGATTAATGATATTTATGAAAAGGGTTAAATTGAATTAAACAAATATTATGTGTACCAAAAGAAAAGGATTCACATGGAATGAAAAGGAATTTGGAACTGTGCATGTTGAATACAATGATGGGTCATGGAATCGAGACATCAGTGGAGTTATTGAATAAGTACGTATGAGTATTATTGTTTTTTTTTTGGGGGGTGAAATTTACGAGTATTATTGTTGATTTTAAACATGCATTGGGACATCAAACAGTTAAACTATTTTAATAGAATTATATATTTAGCTTTTATTACTTGTTTATTTTGTTAATTTAATAAAATATACTTATAATGGGATATAAGGAAATATGAGGAAAGCACCACACAATTAAAACCCCTGACACACGTAAATGTTGCACAGATGGGTCTCAACAAGTTTGTAACCTCGTATTCTAAAAACGCATGCACACTATTTTAAAAAAAACGGTTCGGATCCTAATCGGTTCGGAGGGCTGGATGGTGTAACCGGTTTTAGTTTGAAAAAAAACCGGTTTTTTTTAAAAATTAGATATAAAAAAACCGGTATTTGTAGCAATGATGAACAAAAAATTACAAAAATAAGATTTGAGAGATGTTTAGGTGTTGTGTAATAAGATTTGAGAAAATTGTAATCAACCAAATACATCTCCAACCTATTTATATATGTTTAGGGTGGTAAAATGGTGATTTTTTTTTTTAAAAAATGGTCACAAAACCTCAGACCGGATTTTTTCCCAATAAAAACCAGTTTTTTATCCGGGTTTTTTTCAAACCGGTAAAAAAACCGATCGTCCAATTTTTTCCCAAACCGATTATACTATCCGATTTTTAAATATTCGATCCGGTTTAAAAAAACCTGTTTTTCCCAAATTCTGTTTCAGATATTTTTTGCGCAAAATCGAATATTCGGATTTTTTGTGCACCTCAACTTATGACCTATAAATAAACTTGTATATTTACTGACGGAGTTGGTTAAAGTGATAAGCAACTTGATATCGCTTAAGTAACGTCTCAGGTTCGAGTCGTTGTGCATTCAAAAAAACCCTAGGAGATTCACCCACTAAAACCAAGTGTGTGACCCAGGTCGGTCCATATTAATCAAGGCGAAACCTTAGAACTGGAGAGCCACAAAAAAACTTGTATATTTATTGACAAATAAAATACTTACATTTCAATATCAAGGTTAAATTTATAATTTATTTTAAGATTGTTATTATATCGATTCATATTATATTTTTACTAGATTTTCAATGAACATCAACTAAAATAAAAACATATAATATTAATAACGATTTTATCCAAAAAGTTGACGAGTAAAATAAAAAATGATAGTAGTTCAATGACCAAAAAGTAATTTACCCTTCACTATTTATTCTGTTCGCGATAATTACATATTATATGAACCCCTTTTTTATATTCCGTCATCAAAGCATCAACATCGTAAATATTGCTGTTCTTTCGGCGTATGGAACGGAGAAAATTTTATTATTAAATACGTATTTATGTTATATTTTTGCTTTATTTTTTATTAAAATAATTATCTAACGTTTTATTTTATTTTTATTTTTATTTTACTTCATAAAAAATAAGTGTTCAACATTTGAAAATAAATTTCAAATTTAAGAGAAAACTTATTATTAAATATGTATTTATATTATATTTTTGTTTTATTTTTTATTAAAATAATTATTTAACGTTTTATTTTATTTTTATTTTACTTCATAAAAAATAAGTGTTCAACATTTGAAAATAAATTTCAAATTTATTTTATGTTTTAATTGTTTTAATTATTTTTTAACAAATTTTGTTACATGATTATTTTATGGAATGTAATAAATGAACATGAGAATAGACACATAATAACTGTTTTAAAAAAATAATTTTATCATTCATTTTTTTAAATATCTAAATAAATAAAACATAATTTAAATATGCACAAATCAATGGAATTCAGTGACAAAAAAATTATTGTTATTCCTTAAGGTCTTAGATTCAGATACTACGGAAGACAAGGGCGTGAACGTTCAATATTATATATGTATTTTAATTATTGTTAGTACAATAATACTTTATATTAAAAGATCAATCAGACATTAAAGTAAACGTTAAGTGCTTACCCTCTTATTTGTACATATCAATTAACATATCTCGAGTTTTTTAATCTCCTCCGGTTTGGTTAGCCGTTGCCGTCTTAAGAAAATATGGGGTTTAAATTTTATTTTATTTTTCTCTTTAGTTTAAATTTTAAATATTCATCGATTATTCAAAAAAAATATTCGTCGTTATAAATTTATTTCGTTGTTGATGATTTGTTTTAAAAAATAAATATTGATTATAAGATATATATCTTATCTTATAAATACTACTAATAACATTAATTAACATTTTCCTTTGCACCGAGGGTTTCCATTTCATGATGACCGGAGTCCAGAGCTTGTATTTCGATAGATGAGTTGAACTAGATGTATTCGAAACGAAGATTATTTCATTTAAAATACTTGTTAATTAAATAAATAAAGTAAGTTTTGAAGTTTGATTGATTTATATATGAATATTATTGAAAATCAGTCCAAATTTAATGGAAAAGGAGACACCACCTGTCTAATCCAGGTCTATAAATACAAGAGTAATCTGAGCCTTCAAAGTGCTCTTCAGCTGTTCGTATCGAATCAGTCAACACTCCCTCGTCAGTCGTCTCCAACCGCGCTTCCTTGTTTTGGGATGGAGACAAAGGTTATTTCCACCGGAATCCGGTATTCTAAATTACCGGAAAGTTACGTCAGACCGGAATCCGAACGTCCTCGGTTGTCGGAAGTCTCCGAGTGCGAAAACGTCCCTGTTATCGACTTGGGGTCCGATGACAGAAGCCGTATCATTGAACAAATCTCTCTTGCCTGCATGCACTACGGATTTTTCCAGGTATAATTGATTACCTCAAACGTTGAAATCTCGGGCTCTTCTTCCTTTTTAAGGCTGTTATCATTACCAGGTCATCAATCATGGAGTTTCCGACGAAGCCGTGGAAAGAATGCTACAAGTGGCGCGTGACTTTTTCCGGCTGCCGTTGGAGGAGAAGTTGAAGCTTTACTCCGATGACCCTTCAAAGACAATGAGACTTTCCACCAGTTTTAATGTGAACAAAGAGAAGGTTCATAACTGGAGAGATTACCTGAGATTACACTGTTATCCTCTCCATAAATATGTCCCTGAGTGGCCTTCCAATCCTCCTCCTTTCAAGTAAGCCCTTACTCTTCTTCTTCATCATCTTCACCTTCTTCTTCTTCATCTTCATCTTCTTCTTTCTCTTCAAGCAATGACAATGAATATTCAAAGTAACCATTTGTCCACATGCATAATTTATCCAACAAGTTTACTTTATTTCCACTGCAATATCTGTCATGCATGTTGTAATGATTTGATGGAGATTATATTAAATGCATTCTTTTTTGTTCTTTAGAGGGAACAACCTAATATGTTGATATGATTTCTTTTAACATCTTTTCCATCTTACATTAGAAACTGATCTTTCCAAACAGTGCATGAACTCACAAGCAAAAAGAAGTTGCATGAATATAATGATTTGTTCTCACCTTTATCTGAGCACGTAATAGAATAGATCTGATATGTCATTCTGATTTTTTATTTAAAAAGGTTATCTGAATATTATATTTTGTTGGTACGATATATTTAATAAGTTGTATCTATATAATCATGTGACATCTCTTTCGATTTCGTATATAATATAATAAAATAATTTCATGTACACATATCAAAGGAAAAGTTAAGTCCCCCTTGATTCTTATTCCCCCAATTGTTCCTCTAGAGTTTGGCTTTGATGAACACAATATGATTATCAAATTTTGATATGGAGGGTGACTTTTTAACCATTGGAAGAGCTATTGAGGATTGGGTTGAGCAATATCTTCCATGGGGTGACCCGTACATGTAACAAAAAGCTAAAAAGATTGTTGGAGAGAGAGAGAGAGAAGTTTCTAGCATTAAAAATTATAAAACTCGAGCGTGATGTTGATGCCAATGAGCAACATGTACTACCCATTAATCAATGCCTATGTCTAGTTGGGTTGACAGTGGGACAGTGGCCCCATATGTAGGTGTAGTGGATGCTTATATATTCTATGAGCTCACAGAGTGATGTAAGCATGAATTTGAGATCCATATTTCACTTTCAGATTTCACTAGGCAAAAATAGTAAACGTAGTTAACGGTAGCGATGGCAGCAAAAAGCTAAGATTAGAACAGTGGGGGCGGTGCGGTGGCTTTTATGAGTGGTAGCTCTGGGATATAACGATCCTGATGTTGAATATTGTTGATGATCAAGTTGACGTTTGGTAATGGCTTCTGTGGGGGTGAATCAAAGTTCTAATGAACCCCCTTTTTTTTTTTCTTCTAGAGAGATTTGTGCTCTCTCCATGCATGCATCAAGAAAAGATCCCTTTTTTATTGCTGTTCTATATCGTTATTGGTTACTTCAAGAATGGGAGCTGTAATCTTTGAATGTCAAATTGATAGGGAAATTGTGCGTAATTACTGCGTTGAAGTTCGAGAACTGGGGTATAGATTGCAAGAGTTAATATCAGAGAGCTTGGGCCTGGAAAAAGATTACATAAAGAATGTTCTTGGGGAGCAAGGCCAGCATATGGCTGTCAACTATTACCCTCCATGTCCCGAGCCGGAGCTTACCTACGGGTTGCCTGGTCATACAGACCCCAATGCTCTTACGATTTTACTTCAAGATTTACAAGTTGCGGGGCTCCAAGTATTGAAAGACGGCAAATGGCTCGCCGTTAATCCGCACCCGAATGCTTTCGTCATTAACATCGGCGATCAGCTACAGGTAATGATCATATAACACCTTCCGTGTGGAAATTATATATGATACCTTGCTAGAAGAGTAATCAAGTATGACATGCAGGCATTGAGTAATGGGAGGTACAAGAGCGTGTGGCATCGAGCAACCGTGAATGCCGATAAGGAACGGATGTCGGTTGCTTCTTTCCTCTGTCCGTGTGACCACGCGATAATCAGCCCTGCAAAGCCTCTAGTCGAAGATGGATGTGGAGCCGTATACAGGGATTATACTTATGCAGAGTATTACAGTAAGTTCTGGGGCAGGAACCTGGACCAAGAACATTGTTTGGAACTATTCAAGAACTAGTATCGGCTTTCGTCGCCCCAGTGTTTCCTCGACTTTTCATTTGTATCTGAATGCATGTATATTACTGCAGAATAAGTAGAGTGCCCCTTTTTCATTTATTGCAGTGTGCCCATTTTTAATGCTGCTTCCTTTTAGCAGTCTACTGTGTAACTCACAATCCTTCTATGGCACCCGATTGTTCCGAACCGAAGTTGAACTTCTCTTTATTATATCGTATTGTACTATAAAGGACAGCATTGTCCGTCACAAAATGATTCTGTGCAAATAATTTATATTACGTGACATGAAATGGTTCTTGCGCCTACAGGTGAAGTTTCGCCACTGCAAAGTGAAACAGAGTTCTATATATGTTGATCTTACTTATGTTTTCTAAATGCCAGCAAACAAAATGGGAGTTTAAACAATCATCTTCTTCAATGATTCCTTCTCGACGATGAGGCTTTAGAAGAAAACAAGCAACACTTTGTTTAGTTGCAGTAAGGTAGACGATATAATATAGAATTTCTTCTACATAAGAAGCATACAATTTTCATTCTTATTGTTTTCCGTCAAACAAAAAAGTATGTAATTCCAGCAAGCCACCCCTTTGAGACAATCACCAAGTTCCAGAATCCAAAAGTAAAAGACTCAACCATGTATCCAACACAAAGATTCAAATAGTTTTTGAGAAACTCCATGATGTTGGTGCCGAAAGCATTACATTTTACAAGGAAGCCTTGGAATCCAGCACCCTTTGCCAGTGCCTCGAACTCCTTTTCGGTCCTCTCTTTCCCACCAGGGTTGTGAGCCAACATGATGCAGTCGATATGGACAACTAACTTTGTGGCGAGGCTGGGATCCGGGTAGTCCGGAAGAATGCATTCGGCAACAATCACTTTTCCGTTGTCCGGCAAAGCTTCGTAGCACTTCTTCAAGAACTTCAAGCAGTGTTCATCGCTCCAATCGTGACATATCCACTGCATCAGAATGACAACACATACATGTCAAGAGCATTAATATTACAAACTGCATTTTGTGGTAGGTAAGACGTAGTTTTCTTTAGTCATCAGGAGAAGAAGTTGAGAGTCAGAGGGGGCACTCAATCAACATGTCATCAGTTAGCTCCATAATCAAGATGGATGGAGGGGTTGGTGGAGCATTTGCCCTCCCGAAATTTTCAAATTTTCATATAATTTAAGTATTTTGTATTTAAAATCTGTTTTTGTCTCTAAAATTTTATGAGTTCTACCCTAACGTGTCTTTCCCTGACTCCATTGTTTCATAGATGATTGATTCCACCTACTTAAGCCTATTGGAACTTTACCTTCATGAAAATGGCATCTCCTTTCGGAACACTTACAAACATGTCTCCACCAACATGCTCCACACCTACAGTCAATCCAATTTCAAGACCATGATCAGAAATGATGCAATCTTTAGCTTCTGAAAAAAAAACTTGTGAAGCATGAATAATGTCATACCGGGATAACAAGGAGCATCCTCGATGACATGAGGCAAATCAAAGTTAAAGCCCTTTATGGCAGGGTACTTGGAGACAATCATGCTAAGCGTGGCACCAATACCACCGCCGACATCGACCAGTGTTTTCAGTCCGTCAAAACCGTCGTATGTCTCGAGAATTTTCTTCATCGTAATGGTAGAGTGATCGGACATTCCCTTGTTGAAAACCTTGTTGAATCTAGGATCCGTGCCATGGTACTCGAATGCGGTCATACCGTAGGCCTTGTTGAATGGAATTCCACCATCCAGCACTGCATCTTTCAAGTAGTACCTGAAAACATTCCGAGGATATTACCTGGAGTTATGACAGTTAAATGGATACTGGACTTATACAAATTACAGTAGCTTATACTCCATTGATGAACAGAGAACCAGATCCCTCAATTTCTATATTTAAATCTTAAGAAATGTTGGGTGTTAGGTAAGGCATTCGAGTCTCATATTTCAAGCAATAAATAGACTAATATCTTGTAAATCAAGCATAATCATATTTAAACACTTCAAAAATCTCATATAATCATTTCATCATACATGATTATCCAGTCAATTTCTATTATTGTTTTTGCAGAGAATCAAACTCATGGATAAATTAGAAGTAAATCTTACCAGCTCTCCATGAGGACCTTGTCTTGGTTCATGAGATTAAGGGCGGAAATGGAAACCCCATCTTCATTCTTGGTCAAGAATTTGCAGACAGGGCCGAGGCCATAGAGTCTCTCGACTTTGCCATCGGGAAGGTTGCGCAAGGAGCAGGTGAGGACGGAGTAGCTGGCGAGGAGGCGGAGGATGCGGTCGAGCATGACGGGAGCATCGGGGTTGGTGGTGGGGAGCTGTGAAGCCACTTCCTTTGGGGAAAGGAAAGCACCGGGACCGGCTTTGGCCATGATCTCAAGCAGGTCGAGCTCGATGGCTGACTTGAGGACCATGGGGAGGACCGATGCACTGGCCAGTTGCATGGCGAACAAGTTGGCTTCCTCGTCCGAGACTTGGGTCGGAGTCATCTGGGTTTCGCCCGTTGAACTCATTGTGTGGAGCTCGGAACAGAAGAAAGCTGAGATTTGGTGAGGATGAAGATGAGACACGGCTGAGGACACAAGAGCGTGTAAATATATAATGTCTTGTCTCAACAACCTCGCTTCTTGAAGCCAATCACCACTCTACTGCTGACCCCACAACCATCACCTACCATTTTCCTCTATGAATTTTCAGTTCTTCTAATGGTAATTTCCTAATATTTTGACATTTGTTTGAAGTTATAGTTTTTTTCCCTCCCTCGTAACGTTTTAGTCCTAATCAGATATTGAATCATCCAATTTTTAATTATTCGACAATAAACATTAATATATCTTAATATATATATATAATGTTTGAATTTAATATCTTAAGGGATAACAATAATTTCTTAACTACTGAGTTTACTTAATTAAAACTAATTAATAATTAGTTTTAATTGATGAAATAAGATATTAGACCCTTATATAAACTCGGAAATTTAAATCACGACGTTCTGAATGAAGCAACTAGATTGAAAAAATAACTCTCATAATAGACTTTATACTATCTGATTTTGAATCAGTTAATTAATAGATCGAATACTAACGTGTGTATTAAAAATATTATCTTAATAAAAAACAATTAACTAATTTTATTGTTTCAATAGATGATTGAGCAGCGAAGGCTGTTGTACATTCAAAACTCAGCAATCACCAAAACCATGTGAACATGAAGCTAGGTTTATGTTGGTTTAGTTAATTAATTAATGCCAACTACAGATCCCCTGTTGGTATGCATACTTACTTCAAAATTAAGAAGGTTTAATTTTTAAAAAATCTAAATTACAATATATTTTTAATATAATTTAACCACAATATTTTAACGACGAATGTACTGAAATCTAAACGCAGATTAAACAAAAAAAATAATCCAAATGCAAAAAACAATATTTTAACCACGAACGTACCGGAAGCTAAATGACAAGATATAATTTAGGGTAAGCTAAACGGGTGATCATTTAATTATAGTCAAAAATTATTTTGATCATCAATGTTTTAATTTGATCAAGCAGACCATCCAACTATTTAAATGGTTCAATCAAGTCACTAATAGTTAACTTTTAACGGTAGAAGTGACATGACAGTTAAAAAAACTTGGTATATTGCATATTTGATCCTTAATATTATATATTCTATCACTTTAGTTATAGCTTAATTTGATTAAAATAAATTTTATTATCCAATTAAACGGTGACACATGTCACTATCTAATTAAAGGTTTTTTCATATTTATTTATTTACTTAATTCAATTTAGATTTCCTCCTTAGTCAAGGAGGTGGGAATCCACATGCTTGAACCATCGCGCCATGCACATCATTTGGTTCCAAATCATAGCATATTTTATATAACTTAGTCCACTTAATAATAGCCAAAACATGATTTTAATTTTATTTATTAGGTATAATTTAATAGTTATATATAATATTAGGAACTATTTCTTCCGTTAACTATAATTTGATATTATATATAATTATTAATTATAATTAATAAATAAAATTAAAAAAATCTATTAACAAAAGTTAAAATATATATAAAAACGTTGTATACTATAATTAATAAATAAAAATAAAAATTATTGATTTCATTAAAAAAGTAATAATATACAAAAATGTTATAAATTATAGTTAGTAAAAAATTAATAATTATTTTTTCCATTAATTTTTTTAAAATATACAAAAATATTATAAATTATATTCAAACATGTGATTAGATTTAGTGATTAAAGTAATTTTATTTCATCCTTGTTTTAAATCTCGGTCTGAGCCTCCAATTTTGCATTTTCACATTTTCCCTATAATTAAGTGGAATAATTTATATAAAATATGTTGTGATTTGGAAACAAATGAAGTTGTTAGTGCAGTGGTTCAAGCATGTGCATATCAATCCCTATAACAAAGATTTGATTCCCACTAGGAGTTTTATTTCATCCTTCATTTTCCCAATTATGAAAATATATTACAGTTAGATAGTAATATGTGTCAAGATTCAATTGGAGATTAAATTTATTTTGATTTAATTAAATTATGTCTAAAATGATAGATTGTATAAATATCAAGGATCAAATATGTAATTATATTAATTTTTTTAACTGCCATGTCACTTCTACCGTTAAAGGTTAAAGCCCAGTGGATTGATTGAACCATTTAAATAGTTATGTGGTATGTTTGACCAAATTAAAACATCGATGGTCAAAATGATTTTTGATCATAATGGAATGCTCACCCGTGTAGTTTATCCTATAATTTTATTACACTACTCTCACCAACCTCCTCATAATATATCACCATTAATCAAAGTCAATAATACATGCAGTGAACAACCTGGTGAGTGGACCCCAAAATGAATATTTGATTAAATTATTTTATTATTAAAAAAATGAATGTACACAATAAATGTTACTATGGATCATTCTGGATCCTATATGTGAACATATTAAAATATTTTTTTGAAATAAATTTTTATGATAATTTTTAAATAATTTATTAACTATTTTAGTTAGTACAATTGAAGTTTCAAAAAACTTTAAGATTTTAAATTTGAATTTTTCTTTTATATATATATATATATATGAATTCAATTCAATTTATTTTAATTTTAATTCTGCTCTATATAATTATACAAACACAAAAATCCTAATTTAATTTTTTTAATAACATGTGATAAGTACATAGTAGTATTTGTTCAAAGATAACTCTTAACCTTTAGACATTGATTGCTCGCACCCCTGACATTTATGGTGCTCGAATCCGAATCTTCAAGGAATAACAACAATTCATTTACTACGGACGTCACTTTAGTTCATATTAAATTGTATCATATAAAAGACCTTCGCATCAGCACAAATTTTCATTTTGTTCTAATTTCTTTTTTATCAACCAAACCACATTATAATCTTTTTGACAAAGGGTACATGAATCCCTATACTTCAAGAAAAAATTAATGTGACTCTTGTATTATTATTATTTCTCAACATGTCATTGTAACAAAAAAAAAATCAAATGTAGTCATTTGATCAATATCTTTCGTCATTAACCAGCTGTTACGTTAATTTCTGTTGGCGTGAATGCTTTCTCAAATTTATTACGTATAGAATATTGCTTGTGGTTGTTGGTACATATTGAAATGACACATTAAATTATTTTTTAAATTAAAGGATCACATTAAAAAAATAGTACAGAATTTATATTAATTTTTTTAAAAAAAGTACAGAGTTTCACTTACCTTTCGCTTAATCTTTTCTAGTCTATCTTCTAAATCTAAAACAACAATTTATAATATTATATTGCCAAATTGGCACATCTAAACCTACTACGCCGGGCAGCAATTGGTGGCCCGGTTCATGTCTGCCGGTTCGTCGTTTGTCTACCTCTCTTCACAAGTAAACCGGCATGGCCCACATCATAAAATATAATATAATGTATATAGAATATAATTAGATAAGCTGTTTTGGTCAACACGTTATTGTCCTCACCAAACTTCCCCCACCAGCTCCACAACCCCTAATTATATAAAATTATACGCGACAGCATATCAATAATGACGGCGACATTTGAGCCCATTTTGCTTTGTAAATTATATTCTTTCAAGGCTGGAAGTGTAAGGGCTTTGTCTATAAATGTTATAGTTAAATTATAAAAAATATGTTATAGTTGACAAAATTTTCAGAATATCTAACAATATTACATTGATATTAATTAATTAACATTTGATGAATTAGCTATATCTTGATACGTTATTATTTCATTTTATAGAAGTCTAGTTTTGTTAAAAATAAAAAAAATATTCAAAATTACAATGAAAATTTATAAACATAATCGCAAATCTGTAATATAATTATTAGATTTTTTTTATTATCATTGAGACAAAAACTAGTCACATAGATATCATAAGGACTAAATAAGGAAAATGTTAAAAAAACCTAACAAAAAAACTCGAATAAAATAAAGTTACAAATAAATATGTTTGCATCGGTAAACGAACCACAAAAAGTGATGAAGGTACTGAAAGATCACTTACAAATTGCAAATCAGAGTCAAGTTACTTGAGAAAACTATTCACGAACGCAACAAGGAAAATCATCATAATAACAAATAAGCGTTATATTAATAAGTCGTGACGATTTGAAATCAAACCCTGAAAAAAAATAAACAAAAAGAACGGCAAAAAATCGCAAACAACGGCAAAAAATAGTAAACTATCAAAAAGTAGAGAAAAACATGTCACAAAGGTTTAAATAAACGTGTCATAAAGACAGAAAACACATCACAAATACATAATTATTATTATTAAACAAACTAAAAAAAGAAAAAAATAACCGATGTGCGGTAACCAATATTAAAATCGGTGTCTCCGCCGATTAAACAAAATTAAAGAAAAAAATTAATTTACTCAATAAAATTGACATAAATTGTAAAAAAAAAGAGAAAAAATAAAGTGGTTAGAGTTTTTATTTTAACATTCTTGATACGATATTATAAAGTTACTAGATGAATTAACTATATTTTGATACAATATTATTAAATTACTAAATTATCTTCCGTATAGAAACACTAATTTATTTTATGTTCAGTGGTAAACTAATATATAAGTTTTATGATTATTAAAAATTATAAAATAATCATTCAATTATAGCAAGTCACTTTATTAAGTTCTTCAACTATTAAAATATACAAAATAATTATTTGACTATTTATAAGTTTCAGATTCCTCATTTTTCATTTAAAGATTGATTGTCGTTTGGGTTGAACATTAACATGTTGAATAAGATATGATAGTCTTTTAGATTATGAGTTCAAAATTTATTATATCTCTGTTAATATATTAACATTTAGCTCGAACTATTATCAATTTTTAATGAAAAATGATGAGTTAAAAACATTTGAATTATTAAATGACTATTTTATAACTTTTAATAATTGATGAATTTAACAATATAATATCTTATAATTTTAAGACCGTTTTATAATTTTTAATAATCATATGACACAACAGAGCGGACCATTTTGTGTACTTTGCCCTGTTTGTTTTAGCCATAATCTTAGCTGAAATTTCATAGACAACAATAATGGGCGTTCGGCCGTTTAATTTCAAAATATGGACTTGGGTATGTTGTTTTAGCCTCAAAACCCTCGTCACCAGCAGCACAACCCATAACTCCAAAAATAGGTTAACTCTCGATACAGTGTGGACGCTTCTGAATCTTTATCCATTTCCCTATTTCCCTGCTCGGCTAAACCCTAGCTCTCGAAAAGAAGGATGTCGCCGGCCGCTGTGGTTGAAGCCGCTAAGCCTGAGGCTGAGGAGGTTCCTTCAATTGAGGAACCCAAGAAGCAGCTTCAGGTTTCCCCTTATTTACTCCCCTTTTGTTTCCTTATAAGGTTTGTTAATATGGTACGGTTCACAGAGCGAGGAGGCTGTGGTCGAAAATGTTAAGGAAGATGAGAAAGAACATGACGACGACGATGAGGATAATGACGAAGATGAAGATGATAAGGAAGATGATGCCCAAGGTTTCTCCCCGTCTTTTTTGTTTTTTTTTTTTATTTTTCCCGTTTTGTTAATTCGCTCTCGTTTCTGCATTATAGATGTTATTAGTCATTTCTAATGGTACTTCATGAATTAATGGGAACATTTGCTGAAAGTTAATTTTTTTGGGAAATTGACCTGTATATATATGCTTATATCTTCAGTTTGAGTTTATTCCTTTTGAAGGAAACTTCTGTAAATTGTCCGACTCTTTCGAAATTGCATGGCTAAAGTTCTGTCCTTTGATCTGTTGGTTTATGCTTAATGTTCGAAAATTGCATGGCTTAAGCTTGATATTCAGATTCTTGGGATTAGATTAATTAGTATGGTTATCGCAACCCTGTTTGCATACAATTTCTTGCAATGCTTTACATTGTAGATAACTGATGTGTTAGTGGCAATGAATTATGGCTGTCGTCCTTTCGATGTATGCTGTTGTTATTTAGTTGCCTATTGTCTTATCCAAGTTAATTGTTTGGATATTTCTATGCAGCCTTTATGGATTGCTTCGAATATTGATTGTAGGTGCTAATGGAAGTTCCAAGCAAAGCAGGAGCGAAAAGAAGAGTCGAAAGGCCATGTTAAAGCTAGGCATGAAGGTGTAAGCAGGGTCACCATAAAGAGAACCAAAAATGTATGGTTTCCATAGTCATAATTATTTTTTATTCGTAATTTTTAATTCGTTAAAAATTGCGACTCTTTGGGTTAGGTAGGTCGAATTCCATGATTTTCTTTTCAGTTTGAATAGTCAAGCTACTTTGATGAATGATAATATAACCTAGTTTCTCTTGCATTCAGGTACTGTTTTTCATCTCGAAACCTGATGTCTTCAAGAGCCCGAATTCTGAGACCTATGCCATTTTTGGTGAGGCTAAGATAGAGGATTTGAGCTCTCAGCTACAGACACAAGCTGCCCAGCAGTTCAGGGTGCCAGGCATGGGCTCTTTGACGGCAAAACCAGACACTTTTACTGCGGCTGCTGGAGCACCGGTTGATGAGACTGGTGTAGAGCCTAGGGACATTGACTTGGTCATGACACAGGCTGGGGTTTCCAAGGCCAAGGCTGTCAAGGCTCTCAAGAGTAACAATGGTGACATTGTGAGTGCTATTATGGAGCTTACCACTTAGGTAGTCTCTGTCGGTCTTATCATTTGCCCCGGTAGATTGTCGATGACTATGAGTATTTGGAACTAGTAGTCGCAGGGGTTTAGATTACCCTTTCATTATTTCACTTGAAATTTAGATGATTTTCTCGGAACCTCATTATCAGTGTATCTGCAACTGATTGTTTCCTTGCCCATTTCTATAAGAAATTTTTGCCCATTTTTGGGACTGGTTTTGTTGCAATTTTGGCAGTAGATAATTTGGAGCAATTGATTCAATGTTCAAATATGTTTTGCATAAGCTGACCCAAGAATTTTGAAGTCTTGAACTTTTTTCAAAAGAAAACGCGTACAAAGAAAGGAAATGAGACTAATGAATGGCAGTCCAGTTAGCGGCGAAAGGTGCCCTTGCAGTGACGGGCAAGCTTCCTGATGGCAGCGGCACCAGTCTTGGATGTCAATGCCGGATGGTGACTAAAGCAAGAACAATTTGGAAGTACAATTGAATATATATTTTAATTAAGATTTTGTTTTTGTTTTAGAAATAACAAATAAAAACACATGCTTAGAGTCTACATGTTTTGTTCCACATAATTAGGTGGGTGTTGGCCAAACAAGTCTCCTACCTAATCATTAAGACATTAACTATACCGTCGGTCACAAGTCACAACGGTAGTGGACAAAGTCTACTTTGTATAATTTGATATTAAAAATGACGAATATTAGTACTCTCCGTATACTGTCTTAAAATATCATTATTATACTAATCAACTCTTTTTATGAGTTAAATTTTCAATTTAAATATTAAATATCAGTTTATATTTAATTTCAAATATATTTATAATACATAATCAAATTGTAAATATAAATATGGATATTTAAGAGAGTTTTTTTTATTAGTACGAGGTGATTATAAGATATCATATGTTCAAAAAATTTAATTATTCGACAATGAACGTTCAACGTCCTTGTAGACATTATGGTTGCATCCGAGACCTCTAAGAATAACAATTATCTTCTTAACCATTGAGTACGTTTAATTCATGCGGGAGTTATTCCTTTAGAAAAATCAAATTTAAACTACTCATATATATATAAGTCTAAGATTACACGATAGTAGTTGTTTAGGATCTTTCTTAAACTAATAAAATGACCCGATTAGCTTTGTTATGGAAGTTTCGAGCGCTCAATCAACATATTTTGAAGTATGGATATCAATTTGCAATCTTGACAATAATTCGAGGGTTCAAGAAGGAATTAACCCCTATAAGAATTAAAAGAAAACGAGACAAAGAAACCTAGACACGTGAGAGTGGTGAAGTGAAGGGCGGATATTTAAACGGAGAGTCTTTGATTCTTCGTGCATTTCATTACATTTGCATGTAATTTTGTTTGGCATTTGAATTTCATGTCCCTCACTTTCTTCAAAATCGATTTTTTTATTATAATTATTATCATTAATGAAATTTATATTTTGATTATTGAAGGACTGAAGTATCAATGATGATATTGACAAGATGACATGTGGACGTACCGCTTCGGTTGTCATTAACGATTTAATGATTAAAATGAAATATTTTCAATTTTATTGATTAAAATATAAAAGTGAACTGATAATTTTGTGACTATTAGCGTAATTTACCCTTGTTTTATTAAGGGTGCGCCGCGTCAACTCAACCCCACTCTTCGGCCCTTCTTGCGTCCAATCCATATTCCACTTATCCCATTTTCCGGTATATATACCCTTCCCTCTTCCCTTCTTTCTCCATTTGTTTTCACCTTGCACCTTCTCTTTCTTCTTCTTTTTTAGGTTGCTGCAGCTTCTTCTTCAAGATAGAGATTGCTTCTTCTTTTGTTTTTCTTTCTGGGTTTGCGTGTTTGTTGCTTGCTTTCACTTTTCCGGCTCCAGGTGAGTATTTTCTTTCTCCTTTTGCTGTTAAAGTTGTGTGCTTTTTCACTGTTGGAGCTCTGGTAATTATTTTGTTTCCATGTTTAGGTCTGTTTGCAATTTGATCTTGTGTGTTGATGGTTATTTTCGTGATGGGCTCTGTGCTCTTTATTTCTTTGGTAATCGAAACAGAATACCAGTTATTTAAAGCCTTGATCTTTAGCTGGTTGAGTCGTTTGAGTGAAGAATTTTGATTCAAAATGATAGTAGTAGCAACGGGCAATTAGCTAGCGAGAGACGAGACCTGACCCATTTTTTTATCTCATGTTGGGCTCTGCAGAAGGACGTTGGGCGCGGATTCTTCATCTTGAAAAGAAAAAAAAAAGACTTTCAATGGAGGTATACGGCAAAACCATGGCTGCTGAACCTGCAAATGTTATTTATATGTCTACTATTCTGGGCCGTGATGGTCCTATTACTGTTCACAAATGCGATTGGAAATGTCAAAATGAACATGTTTTTGGCAATATGTATCGCTGCAAACTAACAGGGATCACACACATCTGTGACAAGAACTGTGACCAGAGAATTTTGTATGATAACCATAGTTCCCTTTGCCGGGCGAGCCGCCAGGTCTTTCCCCTCACTCAAGCCGAGGAACAGGCTGTCAGAGGTGTCCGGAGGAAGCTCAATGCCGACATTTCCCTGCCCTCCGATAGCTGCGGTTTCAAGCGCAGACGTGATGCACAGTTCCATCTGTCTCCTTTCGAGAGATCTTTCTCCGCTGTGAGTCGGATCTGCAGCCAAGTTGGAGACGGGATGGATACGAGCTAGATTAGATTAGAGTTTACATTACATATCTAGTATCCTATTATTAACCTTAAAGACTCCTATATTTTGTTCCCCTTTAAGTGTTCCATTTAAACTTATTCAGATGGATATAACGGATAATTGACTTTGATGTTGGTGGACGGTACTGGCCTGTAGGGAAAAAGAACACTTTTATTTGTTACTTTGCCTAATGCTATTTAATTCCTCTTAGCTTCGTTGTGAAACTCGAATTCAATTTAGTTTCTTTCTAACTCTTCTTATACTCGGGTTTATCGATTTTGGCAGATACAGGGTGCTTCTAGGTTCTTAATAGGAATTGAATCGTTATAATATTCCTACATGTGCATTTTTGGATGTATGGCTATTTGTTATATGTTCTATATTTTCATGGTTTTTATGTACATTTTGATGTGCTTCTTATAACTTGCTGCCTTGTTGGTTTACTAGTTGAATGCAGGTTGAAGAGAAACGACATGGCTATTTGTCATTTGTTCTGTATTTTCTAGTTTATTTTACTCTCGTTTTGTCCTTGTTGATTTCTTCTATGAGATCCTGAAGTCTGTGTTGATTTTGCAGGGGTTGAAAATGCAATTTCGGGAAGTTTAAATATGCTTTTGCAATCTTGAATGTATCTTCTTTTTCATTTCTAGGTTTCTTGAATTGAAATGTCTGACTTCCTTTTTTCAATCATTCTTGTGCAGGCGAAAATTTTCATTCCTTGTGTTGGATGGCGAAACCGAATGTAAAGGCCTCGTTTTATGCCTGCATCCTGTCGGGGACTTACCGTAGATTGCAAGGCCGTCCAGCCGGCGACAAGCTAGAATTATTTCTATTATGTAAAGGTATACCAATGTGTCTGCCTGGCTGAATGCAGACATGAGTTCGTGATGTCGTTTCTCTGAATATTTTCGAGGTCTGAACATGGTTTTACCAACTGTAAATGGAGTTAAGGCAAGTTGATTATTGATTCTCCTGCTTGTTTAATTGCTTGATTATAAGTTGAGAATGAACTAACACAGCTTTTCAATTCTACTGGATCAGTTGCTTGAAACCTTTGGTCTCTACTGCGGAACCAGCCAATAACTGAGGCTGCCATTCATGAGCCTGTGAGCATCATCTTGTGCTCATCGGAAGGCGTCTTGTTTGTCTTGGCAAATTAAATTGTTACGGCTAACCGAATCGCCGGTGAAGTGGTTCGGTTTCAGCTGAACTTGAGACATTCAAGTGGCTCGGAAGTCCTACAACGATGTTTGTTCCATCGTTTTCTCATTAAATCTAGCCTATGGTTGTTTTGACCTAGTCTCCTATTTTGTTGTTGAGTTTTGATCAACCATTTGGAGCCGAAGTTGTAACCAACAAATCCTTTCCCGTTTTCCTCTGCTGAGCATAATTGTAAATTCGTCCCTGCACAAGTAGCAAAATTTCTGATATACTCTAATTTTGTGGTATATTTTTCTCTCTTTTGTATATGTTTTTTTGTCTTTATTATCGTTCGTTTTGTCGATTTGATGTTGTTCGACTGATTAAGATCGTGATTATTTGTTATTATATTGATCTTCGCTGCTTTTAACCATTTGATTGGATTTAGATACGCAATTTGTGTTGGTAGATAATTTTCTTAAGACAATCAACTCTGATATACGGTTGTCGATGTCTTTCATTAGTTTGATTCCTTTTGTGGTTCGTTTACAGATGTTTACAGATGTCATATTTGTTTATATTTATCATTCGTTCAAATTTTTTAGTTGAATTTTTAACATTTATCTTAATATAATTTAAAGAGATAATTTTTTGTGTCAATTATTATAGGAAAATATACTAATTGTATGTTTAGTTTACGTTTATTACAATTTTCATTGTAATTTTAGATATTTTCTCTTTTTAATAAAACTAATGACTTTTTTATATAAAATTTTAAAAAATGTAATATTTGAGACGTGTAACTTGTAATATAAAATTAATTATATCATAATTTTTTAGATTATGATATTCATTTTAAATTCTTAAATTATGCCTCTTATTCTTAATTTTTTAAATGTTTCACTTTCATTTACAAACTATGATTTTTATTTTAAGTTAGTTTTTTTCTAATTATTTGATTTCATCTCAAACTATCGAGATATGCTAATCATATCTTCTCTTTATGAAATTGTTAGGCCAAGTTATATTATTATATTTTTGAAAAAAATAGGTTGAATTATGATTGAAACTAATTATATCAAAATAATTTTATGGTTGAAATTGGATTATTTAAAATTTTAAGGATCAATATAAAATGAGTGGCATAATTTAGGCATGAAATTAGAACATTTAAAAGTTCGAGAACTAATTAGAGTGGGAGTCATAGTTTGAGATTGCAATTAGAATATTTAAAAGTTTGAAGGTGAATTTAAAAATGAAGATCATAGTTTGGGGACATGTGAAGTAATTATGTATTTATATTTAATGTAATTATGTCCTGCTGAATTAGATTTTTGAGTTATATAATATTAAATTTAATCAAACACGTTAAAAATATAGTATTTGAGATGCATGTATGTGTATGTAAAATATCTTTTTAGAATGAAATATATGATTTTAAAAATTTAATTTATCAACTTTTAATTAGAATAATTTTTAATTTAAAAGAGTTATTTTTAGAAATATGTAAATTTTAGTGTAACCTAATATAAAAAAAATCTTAAGGGTAAAGTACACAAATGGTTTCCCAATTATAGGATATTATTTTATTAAGTCCCTCAATTATTAAAAGTTACAAAATAGTCACTCGACAATACATTATGTTCTAGATTCGTCCTCTTCCGTTAAAATTTTGATGATATTCTGAGCTGAACGTTAACCTGCTGACTGTGATATAATAAAATATGATCATAGAATCTCAAACAACTATCATATCTCAACCATCATGTTATGTCCAACTTAGACAATTGTTATTTTTTAACAAAAAATAATGTGGTTGGAACATAATAAATAGTCAAGTGACCATTTTGTAACTTTTAATAGTCGAGGGACTTAACAAAGCAACATTCTATAGTTGAATGACCATTTTGTAACTTTTAATAGTTGAGAGACTTAATAAAGTAATATCTTATAGTAGGATGACCATTTGTGTACTTTTCCCAAATCATAAAACACTAAAAGAAATTTACGGATTGGTTGGGTGAAAATTATTAGGGTCGACCCGGTCCATGACATTGCTGTAAATCTACATGTACATATCTGTATCCATTTCCAGCGGCAGCACACCAGCAAATTGCACTCTCTTCTGTCCTTTGAGCATCAAACTGTATGCAAAAAATTCTTCAGAAATGGAGTGAGGAAAAGAGCAAGGAATGGTGGTGATGCCACAACAAAACCCACTTGAACATTTGCAATCAAAGTTCAAGTGGAGATCAGTTTCAGGGGATGGCTAGCCAAGCAGTCCTTACCCGTCGAGGCTGCCGTCGTAACCACCACCAGCACAGATCAGGGCGCTGCTATCGGTGCTTTCATGGTTACCCTCACCAACGATGTCTCCTCCTCTCTTCCAACTCCCCAGGCTTCCCTCGACCCTCAAGCCATGGCTTCTCTCAAGCAAGCCCCAGGTCTTTCTCCCCCCCCCCTCTCTTTCTCTAAGCATTAGTTACAATTTAGAATCACTGAAGGTTTTTTTAAACAGGGTCGAATTATTGATCCGTCAATGGATTTTTATTGATATATGGTAGATGTTTACTTGATTGCAGGCTCTATGAGGAGGTCCCTTGGTACAGGCTCGAAATTTTGCGGTGATGACCGGCGTCAACGCCGGCATATCTTGTGTCATGAAAAGATTGAGAGGGAAGGAGGATGTCCAATCTAGGTTAACCTTTTTCATCACAGTTTCCTTTATCCCCATTGATTTCTTTCTGTTGTTTTGTACCTAGAGGATATTGCAACTAGTCATTGGTTCATAGCTCCATAACCCCATAAGAGATACCAGTTGTTGATTGCTATAAAGGTCTTGTTTTAACCGGTAACAGTTGAAAGGGAGATTAATTGATTATGTATTGTTTTGTGTTGTTAAAGAGAGAACAATTATTGAAAATTTGTCATGTTGAACTAGCTTATTTCCCTATCAATTTTGAAGCTTGGAGCTGCGTTGTCGGTTAAAATATTATGCACTCGTTTTCTTCTCACATTTTCTTTTCTAGATTCGATCTCCCTCGCTTGGTAATCTGATTCTGTGTCTCCATTCAGCTTGTCATAAATTAGAATTGTTATATCACATGTGGAGAGAATTACTGGATAGTTATGTGTGACGATCTGAGGATCATATAGATGACCCAAGCTTGTTTCTGAATAAAGAATTGTTGCCTTCTTTTTCTTGTGTTGGATGATCATTGTACTCTAGGTTTACACGGTTGTTTTAGATAAAGTACTGTATGTTGCAGCACGGTGGCATCTTTTGGTTCTGGCGCCATGTTTTCCTTAGCGAGCGGTATGGGTGGCCCCAAATCAGATTGCAAATGCAGCTACATCTGGTCTTTTTTTTTTGCTCTTGTTCAAGGAGGTCTTTTCCAGGTGATTTTATAATCTCATTAACCTCTCTAAGATCAATGTTTCGTTTAGTATCTGGTTATTAATTGCTTCGCTTGCTATGAACATGATGGAGCTAGCATAAACCCGAAAGAGGGGTTAAGATGGTGTGCAGAAATTTTAGAATCAGTTGTTCTTTAGAGTGCCTATATCCCATGAGATTAAATTTCCCCTTCCAACTATTGAATATTCTGAATGGATACTGCTTTGAAATATGGCTCTAGTAGAGGCTGCAGTTTGATCGAACAACCGCTATTTTTGTGATTAATTATACAGTTAGGGCAAAAGTTTTCTCAACCACCCGCTGAGGATATGTACTATACCAGAACAAGATCCATGTTAAGTAGTCTGGGCCTGCAGAACTACGAGAAGAATTTCAAGGGAGGCTTGTTAACAGATAGCACATTGCCTTTGCTCACCGATGGGCAAGCAGTTGGATTATATCTCGATTCAACTTTCAAACTAAAAGCTTATGAACTGTGTGTAGGTATGCTCTGATTGCGTTTAAACTGACATGCTGTGTTTCAGTGCAGTTAGAGATGTGAAAATACCACCTGGACCTAGGCTCCTTATTCTTGATCATATCCAGAGGTTTGATTCTATCTTCCATGTAGGATGATTATACATTGCCCTTGACCACTAGCAACTTTCTCACCTTCTGGTCTAATATTTGTCTTTAGGGACCCAGAGTTTAAAGAGAAGCAAGGGCGACTACGGTGAGCTACTATCGCCAAGCCTTTTCACCGTCCAGGAACGGTAGTGGTTCGTATCTTCTCCAACGAAATGATTTCTTTTTATTTCTTGCTGCTCTTAGCATCCAATTTGGATAAACATGGTTGTTTAGAATTTTCATTAAACAAGTTTCCCCTAGCTTTAAATGATTAAGAAGTTTCAATTCTTGTCATAAGATGTCATGTGCATGAGCTTGAGACAAGAGTGCAGTATTTCTGTTATTTTTTTAGAATTTTTTTGGAAAATTATAAAACTATTAAAAGATTTAAAATATATAAATTTAACTTCCAAAACACATTTAAAATTTTAAAATAAGTTTTAGATTCTTTTAATTACTAGGATATTTTCTCGTGCTTGTTATCTTGATGATAAATTAAATGGTTAGTTGGCCTAAAATTATAATTTTAATTTCGACACTTGATTTGATTAACAAACTATTTAACTAAAAGATAAGTACAGTTCGAAGGTTTATGACTGAATTAAGGCTTTTAAATATCTCCCAAATAGTTTATACGCAGGTAATTAAAAATATATAAAAAAAGATATAAAATTAGGATAATGATCATCAAAATTTATCAAAGGAAGGAAACCTTGTCCATGGTACACGTATGAAACCCATTCCTTTATCAAACAATTATGTATACTCAATCGTTTTCATAACAATAATAGATTCTTTTTTATAACTACGACTAAGAGCATTTTTTTTTAATTTGAGTGCCTTGGATGCTTTAGGAGATTAGTTCCGTTTGTTTCTCCATTGTCAAATCCTATTGTACAGTGTCATCCTTCTTTGCGTTTTACGCCATTGCCATTGGTCACGTCTCCTTTAGCTTTGACTGCAAATCTCGGGCACGCCAATGGTCAATCTTCTCCTCGCAAACTAGTAAGAAAATTCTCTTTTTCTTATACCCTTTATTCTTCCCCTTAGTCCCATTGTCCATATTAGGGGTCCCTTTGCCTTTTTTTGCATATTTGCAGGTAAGCTTTTTTTTTTTCCTTTCAAATTTATGGATCCTTAGATTTACCGCCTGATTTATTATTGATTAATGGGTGATGTACGAATGGTTTCGATCATCGGTATTCTTTGGTGGGTCAGAGTTGAAATTTGAAAAGGAGGTTCCTTTCTCCGTTTTCATTGTCGTCTATCAATTGCAGCTCTTTTTCTTGATACGTCGCAATACTTGTCTGTTTGTTTGGGGATGGACTGATTGCTTGCCATGGAAATGGATCGAGAATCTGGGAAATTGGAACAAATTGTTTCCCAATTTCGTTCCAAGATCTTGCACGTTATTTTGGACTCCAGGGCCCTTCTCTTCACCACCAACAGCAAGAATCGCTTTCTCTTTCTCGGGTGAGAAAGACCGACAAATGGTTCAATTTAGTTTTGGGAGATCGTCCCCCGGCTCTGGAGAATCTCAATTTCTCCCTTAGGAATCTCTTGGATCCTATGGTAATCGACATAATACTGGTTCGCCATGGCTCTTGTTCCTCGTCGGTGGATAACCTCTACGCTCCGTCGGCTGCTGGCCCTTCGACTGAGACTGTTATCGAAAGATGGGTTGTTCAATACGATTGCCCTCGGGTTTTTTCCACTCCTAGTGGTGCTGATGCTGCTGTTTCTTATAAGAAGATTTATAAAAAGTGCATCTTACTTTTGCGATCTCTTTACTCGCAAATGAGGCTTCTCCCTGCATATAGAATCTTTAGGCAGCTAAGTTTGTTAAGCCAAACGTATAATTTCGATCTTGTTTACAAGGTTTCATCGTTCAGTCATCCATTCTCTAGGGAAGAGGAGGATGGAATGAAAGAATATAGCTTTACTCCTGTTGAGGCTCTTCCAGGCTGCTTATATGTGTCCGTGACCTACCGTGCAACTCTATCTGATTTCAACCTCCAACCTTTGGTGTCTTTGCCACCAAAGATTATAACAGACTATGTTGGTAGCCCTACCACGGATCCTATGAGATCCTTTCCTTCATCGGAGAGGGGTGCTCATGCTACATCCTTTCCATCCAGAGGACTGCGACCTCCATCTTCAGCTCCATTTGAACGTCCGCACAGCTGGTCTAGTGGCTTCCACAGAGGAATTCCTCCTGCAAAAACTCAATCTCTTGCAGGATCTCCACCCGCGTATCGTACATCTCGCAAACCATATCATATTACATCTCCACCTACTGATTTATATGGTAATAGAATTCAAAATAATAGAGTGTCAACTCTACAACAGGCTACTGCTCATGATGAGTATAAGCTAGCCCCCCCATTCTCACAATCTGCTTCCCCATCAACTCCAACATACTTATCCGGTGCTAATCCTTTACTTACTCGTCATTGTTCTGAGACTGCCCCTGTAACCATTCCACTAACTGGCAGGAGTACTAGATATCTTTCTCCTAACTCTTCTGATCCAAATAGGCATTCCCTTCCTCCTTTGTCTCCTAGAAGCTCAAAACATGATGCCTCGTCTCAAGAATCTCCATGGGATTCGATCGTACAGGAAAATAGAAGCTCTTCGGACTGGCGAGTCTCCTTCTGGCTTGTCAAATCTTTATTCCGCACCAAAGGTAATCTTAAATTTCTGTCCCCGTTACTTGAAAGTTTTACACTTCTCGAAAATATTGTATCTTTGTTTGTGCTGATGAGTCCAGTACTAATTTGCTTCTCAGGTGGTTAGAGATAGTAAAGATGACTCAGGTCGATTCTCAGGATTGCTATCTTCTAGTGGCTCACCTCGTATTGGATTCTCTAGAAGCTCCAGTAGATTATCTTTCCAGGATGACATGGATGATTGTGAATTCTCTTGCCCTTTCGATGTTGATGATGTCGATGTATCTGATTCATCCAGGTGCATGCATCTCAAATTTATCTGTTTCTAGTCATAGATGCTACTAAAGGTAAAATTTAGATGCCTAGGTTGTTAGTTTTCATCCTTGTTTTTAAGCCTGATAATATTATATTGGTAAAGATAAAAGGTTTCATTTTCAGAGCATGGTTAAGGCAAGTAAAGGTGCTTAAAACAAGAAGGAAACTGGAAGCTGTGAGCCTGATTGATATTAATATGACCTATAGCCAATAGGTCATTCATGTCATTAGAAAGAAGATGCCTAGGAGAACAATGAAAACAAGACAGTTTCTCTTCTTACTTTTAATCGATTCTATTCATCATGCGGTTTTTTCTATTCTTAAGGTTACCTTGTTTGTCTGTTGTTAGAGTTTTATGTAAGATGTGATCTCTCTCTTTTGGCTTAATATTTTGTGTGCTTCTTTCTGTGCCTGCAATGGGTGTTTACAGTCAGAACACAGAGAGCAAAAGAGCTTCAGAATTTACTGCACAGTCAAATCTGGTTGGTAAGAAATCACAAGATGCCGCAGTTGGCATTCTCGTTCACATGCTCAGAACGGCACCGCCTCTCCGGCAAGACCCGAGTCGTTATTCCATTCATTCATTAAAGACTGAATACGATGAAGGTGTCGGTGTCGCTTCCGGATTTTTTCTGCCCCGTAAAACGGCAGATGCGCTCGAGGAGCTCAACAGCTACAGAGAAATGAAGGATCTACTACTATCGAAGAGTGCAACTCAGGCTGTTCGGAAAGAGGGAATGAAGTAGCTCTGGATTGAAGATTCGATCATACGGCTGGCAACCGGTGCCGAATACAACTGCCGCTAATGCATCATTTTAGCTTGAAAGTACGCATCATGTACATACTTCAACTGGTAGCTACAACTGAGTTGGTCATTAGAACACAAATCGACTCGTAAATTTGTCTACTTTGTCAAAATTGATTTCTCCATTTTCCTTTATCCTCTTTCCTTGGTACTTTGAAGTAATCGAGTTCATCTTCAAAATACAATTTTTTTTACCAGCCCTATTCACCTGTTGCCTTGAAATCTCTTTATTTCCTAATCGGGCTTCAAGTAATAATCCACCATTGTCACTTGTCAGAGGCCATTTTTTCTCTCCCAACAACAATCCATTCTCTCGAGCTCCTCCTTTTTCATGCAGTTCCTTCGATGCCCAGACAAGAAAACCCTAAAGTCACCCCTTTCTTAAATCTTTTATGATTTAATTGATTCCAAACAATCACAGCTTGTTTAAGAGAAACGAATTATTCATGCAAAGGAACCTGGATTTAGAATTTGCCATAGGGTCGCCAAGATTTATCTTTTTTTAGGAATAATTTTTATATTGATGATCTTTGGTTTTCTATATTTTGATGATTTTGTTTAGGGATGGGTAGTGGTTTTGATATGATGAATTTCGATCTAATTTTATAAAATCGTTTTTTTAATTTTATAGGATAGGATATAGTTTAAATTTAGTGTGAAAAATGTCGACTCAAAATAATTATACTATTATATTTAAAAAATTATAATAATATTTATTTTTATATTTTTCAGTTAAATTTCTTTCTATCAAGTCAAATCAATAGTAAGTTTTATCTTAAAAATCGAGTCGAGTTTCTAATCGAACAAAGTCTCTCTAAATCATGATCAAATTGAATAATGTGTGTAAAAATATAAGCTAAATTAGGTGTTTAGTTTTCTAAACTATCAGTTTTAATTGTTTTAGTATCTGAATTTTTAATTTTTTTTTAAAACTATACTAAAGTTTAGTTTTTGTTTCATTTTAGTATTTCGCCGTTAAAAACTTTTTTTTGTTTCGTTTTAGTATTACGTCAAACTTTAACGTTAAATTTTGAAAATATTGAAAGTTCATGTACTAAAATGGACAAAAACTGATAGTTCAGTACTAAACGTGTTAAGTTTTTAACCGCGATACTAAAATGAAAAAAAAACTATATTTTAGATAATATTTTAAAAATTGAAAGTTCATGAACTAAAACATATTGAAATTGATAGTTTATGTACTAAATACGTAGACTTAATCATTTTTGCTAGATAATAAGTTGGATTTCGAATGATCTCGTTAAATTTGGTGATGAGGGAGTTTGCTAGAAAAAAGGATGTTCCATTGGAGATGATGGGTTCAAAAGAATTGTGTTTGGATCAAATTGAAGCGATATTTAAATTTCAAAGTTAATTTTTATATATATATATATATATATATAATCAAATTAAAATAAAGATTAAATTTAATGTTATATGAATTTCATTAATTATCATGTTATTTTAATTTTCATAAAAAACAGTTAATTTATTACTTTTTAATCAAATAACTATTTTATAGTAACATTTCATAATCAGGAACTTAATTAAAAAAAATACCATATAATCGAGGATCGTCTACATATTTTACCCTAATTTTTAAGATTTGGATTGAAATACCAACTAAATAGGTTTGGATGATATATTCATCTTCTGAAGATTGAACAGGGTAAATACAAAATAATATATGTTCATATATAACTCTTCACTATTTGACATCGAACACTCGCACCTGAACATTCTTGTGTTCGAACCCAAAACCTAAGAAATAACAATAATTTCTGAAAATATAATATTAAATTATCCTTATAATTCAAATATTTTTTTCTTAAATATTTTATGTACTTTTTAATTTTGAATTCGAGTCGAGAGTCTATTATACAGACTCTCATTTCTCTTGTTTTCTAATTTGGTCCATAATTTACTATTCTACTCAATTCATTTTTTATAATTTCAGAAAATCGATTATCGTTCGATCTAATAAATAAATAAAATAAAGGAGTATAAATTTTATAATTATTAATTAAGCTCAACATAGAACAAACGCTACCTTAATTAATTGCATAAAAAATCAAATTTCACCTTTATATGTAATCCATTCAAAAATCTATATATGTATTGTAATTATTAATTAATCTCAATAAACAATGGGTATTAATATTAATTAACATATAATTAATTTTAACCATATTACAAGTTAAATATTTTTTCAGCAATATAATGACTTTTTATTTTGGTCTAATGGTTAGACATTAGGCTTTTTGTTCTTAAGAGTTATTGGTTCCCATTCTCTCACTTGCAATTATATTTTTCTCATTTTTTTTATTAGTAAGTTGACGATATTGATATTAGATTAAAGGGTAAACTACAATTTTGATATTTGAACTATTACTTTTGCTCCATTTTGACACTCCATTTTATTTTCTTTAAAAACTATGCAAAACATTTAATTTATGTTTCATTGGTACCCTACTGTTAAAAATTTAATGTTAATATTGACGTGTCACCATAAGATAATGTCACATCATCATTGAAAAATTAAAAATAATGTCACATCGGTAGTTCTATTAATTTTTTAACGGCGAGGTACCAAATTAAAATCTAAACCAAATGGTAGGCATGGTTTTGGGAAAAAAAATAACACTTAGGTACCATAATGGAACAAAAGTAATAGTTTAAGTACTAAACGTGTAATTTACCCTAGTTTAAATTATAAAGTTTAAAAATAAATAATGGTTGATTTAAGACTAAATTGAATTTTGATTAAGATAAGGTGACTTCAAAATAGTATATATTCTAATTACTCTCAACCATTTGACAATAAACATTCAATCATCTATGCTGCAATCATTGGTGCTCGAATGCAGGACCTTTAGAAATAACAATAATCACGGAGGTAATTTGAAATAAAAAGAAAACTTGACTACATTTCTCATATTTTTTAAGGATATCTGGATGAGTATGAAATATAATTTCTTATGTGTCAGTAAACTACATTCCAAATACATTGTATATTAACTACTACTCTGCTATATAAATGGTGGACACAGGAATGATTTTGCCAAATGCCAGCTAAACAGGTGGTTGAAGTGAATAGTGGCTGTGGGGGTCTACCAGTGAAGATTTGGAAAGCGGAACATGGACATGAAGCAATATGATGCAGGTAACGAGATAAAGGATATGATTGTTATTGTAATGCAATGTGTCGAATGTTAGATTTGTTGAAGTCCCGCCTTTTCTGCATTGTCTGCCATTGCAATATGATGCAGGTAACGAGATAAAGGATATTGAAACTGGGATACTTGAGCCAACACTACGCCCGAGGACGGATGTGACATCTTTGTCTCAAAGAACAACGGAAACTGAACGTAGAAGTTATGATGCTGGCGAAGTTCATGAATGAGATATTCTGAAAAGCATCGTCTATGGTGGATTAGTTGAATCGATCACAAGTTTAGGTGTTGTGTCTTCTGCAGCTGGTGCTGGTGCTGATACACGTAAGTTTTCTCTCTTTTTCCCTTCTCTAGATTACATCAAATGGCAAATCTGAAACTTTATGATGACTGCGGTTCCTTGATATCAACATATGCGTCACACGAGTTTTTGCTTCGATATTGCAGTGAATGTTTTGGCTTTGGCAGTGGCAAATCTGATTATAGGACTTGTCATCATATTTCATAATGTGAGTTTCCCCCCTTGGTGAATAACATTCCTTGGTTTGAATGATACATGATAAAACTGAAAATTGTCTATTATTATGTAATGGATAGTTTGTAATCTATTTATTGTAATCCATGAGTGTTGTACTGAAGATCCGACCCGTATTCGGATTCAACTTCGAAAGTCCCTGCTGATAAGAGCAGTATAGGACTTGTAAATTCATTCTTCAATATGCATGTTCACAGTCAAGCCCTTGTCTTTCTCATGTTTGGCACCCTGCAAACAATTAAACTTTTCAGCTTAGAGAACTGAAAAACGACCAACCTAGTGTTGGTGGAGCTTCCGACGTCAAGGAAGACCGGTATCAAGTGCTGTGGGACGGGACAGAATTTCGTACTGCATGCGGTTGTAACTATCTTATCGTTCCTCGTTTTCGGCTTGGATCCTCCTGTTGTCTATGGCTTCTCGTTCCGTAAAAGTGATGATAAAGACCTCAAGCTCGCAGCAGTGGCTGGCGCTTCTCTAATATGCATCTTTTTGCTTGCACTCGGGAGAGGCCATGTTAGAAGACCACATCGAACTTACTTCCTGTCCCTGTCTTATTACATCGGCCTCGGCATTACGGCGTCCTGTATCTCGTACGTAGTTGGTCAGCTGCTCAAGAAACTGCTCGAGCAGCTCGGTTTGTTCGAATCAACTGTCGGCTTGCCATTGTTGGAGACAGTGTCGATGGAGGTGGGAAGCGCATCCTATTGAAGTTATATGGGGTTGAGTTCCAATGAATTTTGAATAGAATGATGCCATGAGCATCGGTTCTCAGTTGTACTCTTACAATTTAGCCCGTTTCTTGTTGGAATATCTATATCTCGTTGTTGAACTTGTTAAAAAATAAGTGGGTTTAATGACATTTTTAGCCTTTAAATTTGTTAAAAGAGATCCTTTGTATGGGTAAAATGATTTATCGAATCTCACCCTTATCTTCAAATAAATAGGCAGACGTCCCGATCACACTGTCCACAGCACTGTGGTATTTAGTATTTGCAAAGCGAAAATACAAAGGAAAGAGACTCTGCGGAGCGATTGTTTTGTCAATTTCAAGATGGGCAGAAAATTAAAGAATCAAACTACGTAATAAATACTTGCATTCAAAATACAATTCACCTTCCCAATATGACATTTTACAATTACATTTTCTATATTTCCACGCATTCCCGACCGACCGGGACATGCCCCGATTGTTATTTACTACGCAAAATCTACCTTCATAAATGTCGCTTTTGAAACCGGAAAACGCTCCGATCAACGACGGTGTTACCGCCGTTTCGTTATTTCTGGCAATCGGAGAAGTTGATGGAAACGATTTTCTCCTTCAGTAATTGTGTGATTTGAGAAGCCGAAGGCCTAACGGTGGGAGACTGGTGAAGACAACGTGCGGCGATTGAAACCATAGCGTTTACTTCTTCCAACTTGAACTCTCCACCCAAACGTGGATCCACCGCCGCCGCAACTTCGCCGGCGGCTACTAATTTGGGTGCCAAAATTGATGTTAACAGCTGTCCCTTTTCGGGACAAAAAGCTTCCATCCCGGTAACAAGTTCCAGTATGATAACACCCAAGCTGTAAACATCGTTCTTTTTGGAGGCGAGCCCGGTTCTCAAGTAATGGGGGTCGGTGTAACCAGGTGAGCCGATCATCACGTGCTTCATCGTGGAAGAAGACGGTGGCATCACCGTCGACGAGAAACCCATCTTCGCCGACCCGAAATCGCAGAGTTTGCAGTTGAAATGCTCGTCCAACAAGATGTTGGAAGCTTTGATGTCGCCGTGAATTATCTGGAGGCTGCATTTTTCGTGTAGGAATTCGATTGCTCGAGCAAGTTGGTAAGCTATGGCCGTGCGAGTCCGCCATGGAAGCACTTCCTTGTTCCTTTCGTGTAGCTTTTCTTGTAAGTTTCCGTTAGGAATGTACTCAAACACCAGGGCCACTTCCTCTGAAAAAATGGAGTAAAAGGTTTTGAATTAATAAAAAAAGACTACCTTTTTTCTTCTCGAAGAGTAAAGCAAAAGACTGACCTAGATCATCGGAGTAACCGAGAAGCTTGACGATGTTGTCGTGACGGAGACGGAGCAAGATATCCAGTTCTTGTTTGAACGCTTGATTCAGTCGATCTGTACCGACGTGGACCTTAACCGCTCCTTGTCTTGAACCAGACAAGTTAGCCAAGTAGACGTTGCTAAACCCTCCTTGACCGATGACGACCGAGAAATCCCTAGTGGCATCCTTAATCTCCTCCCACTTGAATTTCCTGACAAACCCTTCACCGGCGACGACTAAATCTTTTCCCTCGTCTTGTTCAGGCTGAGTTTCCGACGTGATCTTACCCAGTCGGAGTTTCCTGAAGCTCAGAAATTTCAACATGAACCCCATGGCAAACAACAAGGCTAGAACCAAGACAAGAAAGAGAGTGACGATGATGTCGATTTGAGGCGGAACGTGGGATTGGATCGGCGGATCACTGGAAGCGGCGGATACAGTGAGCGGAGAGGGTAGTAATAAGAAAATGGAGGGGACGAGACGACAACACCACCGATACCAGCAGACAAATTTGGAAACACATAAAATCCATTGCCTTGTGACCTTATATTTGTCAGTAGCCAAACATGTATCCATGGGGACGCCCATAATCCGACAACCGTCAATTTAATATTCCGATCTAAGACCTGACTGTTCGAGAGAGAGAGAGTATATATATCGGAAGCCTCCTCGGAAAGACACAGAGGTTCTCCTTATCTAGCCTAATATGCTATTTGCATCGTGTTGGACCGACCGTATATATAAAACATAGTATATTGTATGGAAAATTTGTTAGATGGATTATTATACGTACATTGACAGGAAAAAAATCATAATTTATCATAGCTCTTAATTAAGATTTTGATGGTAAAATTTAAAAAGATTCTATCACTATAAATTTTTATATAAATTTCAACTGAATCTTAGAATTGAGAGAAAATTACTCTTAATCTAAACTTTTATTACAAAATAAAAAGATTACATTTAGAATTTAGAATTTATAAATAAAACACATCATAATATTAGATTTTGTTTGGGAAGCTTTTTCATCAATCGTATATGAAATAAGAATATTTTTTTAATATACAAAAATACAATATTTTATATTAAAGTAATTATGGCGCCTTCTAACTAAATTATTTTAATGATATATAATATCACACGCTTTTGTTTATTAATAACGTGTCAAATTGTACACGTAGATTTAAGGTTGAGAATTATTTTTATTCTACTTTTTATTTATTAATTTTAATTAAGAAGAAGTGGCCTGCCAACTACAAGACAAGAGGTAAGGATGATTCCCTCGTTTTTATGAATTCGATGATTATAAATAAATTATTAATAATATTTATGTTTGATATTAAATTTAAATAATTATAAAAATGTTTTTTAATTAAAGGTTGGATAATATTTAACCAGAGCATTTATGAAAATCAAATTAATCAAACCCTAGAATAAAAACATTTGATAATCAACGTTTTATCATGTTGTAGTTGTTGGTCCTCGAATCCATGACCTCTAGAAACAATAACAATTCTTTTAACTACCGATGTAAGTTAGTCCGTGCACATTCCTCTAATTTAAATATACTATTCAAGTGATCATATAATAAATTTTAGTCTTAATACTAAAATAAGTGTCCAAACTATACCTAAATTCTCAAATAGGAGTGTAAACTATTTGTTACCCATCTAGTGTCTAACGTTACATACGTTACAATTTTAGGTGTCTGGACCTTCAACGACGTTAATTTTCTCGTTAAGGGACATATTTCATAATTGGTGATTTTAAAAAAATTATTTAAAATTTTAAAAAAATAAAATTATATATTTTTAAAGAAAAATATTAACATTTTGAAATAACCCTAAAACTTTAAAACATTTATCTCAACCCCTAAAACCACATCGATCATCACCCTTTGTTGTTGACGAAGCTCTACCCAACCTCATCTTCCCCCAACTACCAAAGTCTCTGTGAAATCGTGACCGATAGACGATGAATCGACGTTTTATACCCGAGAACCCTAGACTAAAATCGCGATTCCACGTGATCTCGAATGCCAATTGACGAAAAATACAACGGCGTATGACTAAGAAGATGACAAGGACTATGTCGGTGGCAGTCATTGCCGGAAAGGGGGGCGAGTTAAGGATAAGATTTGAAGATTTTAGGTATTTTGTAGCTTTTTTATAATTTAAGAGAAATTATGTTTTTTTATAACTATAATAATGTTTTTTTAAAAAAATTTTCAAAATCAACAGATTTTGAACATGTCACATAATGAGAAAAATTAACGTCATTGACGGTCCGGACACTTAAAATGATAATGTTTATGACGTTAGACACCTGAATATGTAAAAAAAAATAGTTTAAACTCTTGTTCGAGAATTTAAATATAGTTTATGTACTTATTTTGATATTAAGACTAAATTTTAAACCGCGTGTCTAACAAAAAGAATGAATAAACACACAATCCATCAGCTTAAGAAAATGAGTTTTAAAGGGTATATATATATATGGATGGCAAAAAAATCAGAATTCGACGGAAAAACTGAAAATCGAATTAAACGGGGATGAAAAAAAACCGTTTATGCTAAACGGGGACGGGATGGGGAAAACCGCTTATGCTAAACGGGGACGGGATGGAGAAAAACCGTTTATGTTAAACGGGGACGGGTTTAGTAATCCCCGCCCCGATTACCCGCTTCGATACCCGGCCCGATAAATATTAAAAATAATTATTATATATATATATATAATATTAATAAATTTAATTTAAATTAAAAAATATATATAATATTTATATATTTAATTTAAATATATATACCCGGCCCGATACCCGTTTAAATAACCGTTTATGCTAAACGGGATACATGTTTCCGCGCGATTTTTCCTGATTACCCGATGGAGATCCTCGTTTAAATCCCCACAGTTTTTTAAGCGGGACAGATATGAGTTTTTTAAACGGGACGGGTCCAATACCCGGCCCGTTGCCATCTCTATCCATATTCTTCTACTCTGTAAAATAAAACAATATAACTCATTTTTCTTGTGTATCAAAGTTATAGTCTTCCTTTTCGTTTTATTTGATTATTTTAACTTAAACTTGCATATTTTTGAAAAATAAACATTAAAACCTGTAAATTAATCCAAAATTGTTTGCAAATTTTAACTTGACATGTCCATGCCTGGTAATTTAGTTATCTGTTGTATGAGAAGTATGATATAAAATAATATAGTCCAAATTAGACCACTTGTTCATAAGCTAATTTATCAATTCCACGTAAAAGTCATTATCAGTCTAACAACCCATGCCTTTTTATATTGTTTATATACAACGACATATTTGTCTACGCAATTATTTATGATGTCAATGGTCGCATCGAGGAAGGGTCATATTCGTTCCCTCAATGATGTGGTCAGTCGTCTTTTATAAAGATTTTGATGTGCAAATCTGGGTAAGTATTTGATTAATTCGAATTTATCGAGTAATTTTAGTGATCGGAGGGATTGAAAGATAAAGCTCAGTTCGTTGATTTTATGCTAATAGGACATGAGGCCAATGCGATAACTGGCTTCATGGTCAGATTGACCGATTCTCAAGAGGTATTTCTTACGATTTTTGGTTCGTCTCCAATTGATTTACTTGAAATTTTGGTTGGAGATGCTTTCGGCCTCCCATGTAGACGTATAAGGAATTGGTGTAGTGGCTTCGACCTCATTTTTTTATCCCAAAAAAGAAATATTCAGTAGTTTTTATAATTACCTGTTGGTTTAGCGGAATAAAATGATGAATCATTTAAGCAGCGTCAGAGATTTGATAGAGTAAATTGAGTTGGGAATCTTCGTCTCTGCAGTACCTGACTTAGATTAGTCGATCAATAGATCGGATTCAAGTGATTATATCAAAAAAATATTTGAATTCTAATATTGTATATAAAGAAAACTGAGTTGGAAGGACTGTTTTCATAATAGTAATATGAAGTATGTAATTTGAGTTAATTTACCAATAAACGACGGAATGAAACCAAAAGTTTTAAGTAAAATAATGGGCAAAGTATAACAGTTGTCATTAAACTTTTATGACACTTTCACTTTGGTCACTAGATTCGAAACAATTCCGTTAAAGTCATTACTATTAACAAAAACTTCATTTTGGTCATTGAATTATTCAACGACTAATAATTATTGACGTGACATGTCCACGTATTTTGGTAAAATATTTTATTTAGCTTATATTGTAAAAGGAAAAATACACAATAGTTCATTGTCGGTTGTGGATTGAAACTTAAGATTGGGTGCATAAAGACTAACCCTAGGGTTTTAAGTCGGGATCGAGTCAAATTAGATACATATTTCCCCCTTAAAAGTTGACTCATATTCAGGTTGGATCGTACTTCTCTAAATTTGGGTTGTTAAAGTGACATGTAAAGAGATCCTTATATACACTCCCTTAAAGTTCCAAAATTGATCCACAATAAAACCTTAAGCATTTTTTCCTTCTATCATAAACTAAATATAATGTTTTGTCAAAATATAGCGAAATCTCTTGCTTAGCCCAATGATTGTGCATTAGAATCATTTTCTAAAGGTTCTATGTTTGATCCAACATAAGCCTTTTCCATATTCTCTCTTAATTTTCTACTAGTAAATCGATAACACATGTCATCATTTTATTAGAGATACTATCTTACTAAAAAGTTATATGTAGGTATGCGGACTCAGATTCCATTGACACGTGGGCGTGTCACGTTAAACGTCGTTAACGTTTAACGAATCATTGTCTTATATGAATGTTTTTTATTTTGATGACCAAAGTGATTGTACCTTAAAATTTCAGTGACCTGCAAATGTAGTTTACCTAAAATACCTTTCATACCAAAAGCGACTTCCCCAGCACGGCAGTGTTTACGTTGACCAATCAATTCGCTACAAAGAGATTGCGGTTGCCCTCCCACTCTTCCACAAAGCAGCCCCACGTAATAAATAGGGCCGGATTGATACACATATATATTCTTATATTAGTACATGAGATGATACATTTCACACTATAATTAGGATAGTATCTGATCGAACCTAATATCTTCCTATTCAATCTAATTTAATCGGGTTGAGTTTTTTTAATGTTATCAAAATCAGATCGGACCGATCGGTTTGACGGTGAACCGAGAACCGGTTGTTTGTCCTGTCCGATCAGCCTCCAAAACCAATTTTCCAATGAACTAGTAAAACTGGTGTGAACTGGTTGGGAACTGGCAAAACGGTGTGAACCTCCGGTTCTATTTTTTTTAATTAAACCAAACGATGTCGTTTGTTATGATTTTTTCAGTCCTAAATAAATTTTATGATTTTAGTTATATAATTATATTTATTATTTAATATGTTTTTCACTTTTACTTTTAATTGTTAAGTATTGTTTGAATTTGAAAATTTAACTTCGTATTTATTTATCATATTGCCGGTGATGAAGATATTGATGTTGTGGACTTTCAAGTTCAAAGTGATGCTATGGAGTTTCAAGTTCAAAGTGGTGATGGCGGTGATAGTTCAACTAATGAAGAAGATTTTCCCAATATTTTGAAATTTGAGGGAATCGATTTCAATAAATATTATGATAATTATTACTTGTATCAATTATGTACTTTTTTTTATTTAGTTGTTGATGAATTTCTTTAGGTATTGACCTTAAATATCATGTTGTAGTTGATTTGAATCATTTTGTTTCACTTGATATTATGATATTTAACTTATATATGTTATGACTTGTGATATTTTTATACCTTTTAATATTGCTAACTTAAAAAATAGTGTTATATATATATATATATATATATTAATATTGCTTTGAATATTATGTAAAATTTTAAAAAACTATTATTTTATATAAACTGGTTCAACCGCGGTTTAACCCAGTTGAACCAGTGAACTAATACCTTCATCGGTTTAAGGTCCGGTCTGATTTTAAAAACATTGGTTTCTTAATAAATTTCGGATTCAATTATGATCGGATCAGTTTTTTTTTAAATGTGATGTTTGAGCCGGGTTTAGGGTGAAAAATACTTGACCTGACCCGAAAAAATAATTTTACCTTATATATTTCGGATCAGTCGGTTTGGGTTTTAAAGTTATATATTGGGTCGGTGAAATCTTTTTTCGGTCGGGTAGGGTCGGGTCTCAGATGGAAGATTCTTTGTTCTCGGGTCGGGTGAACCAAAAACCAAACCTAACCCGACCCATGCCATCCCTAATTATAAAAAATTAGAACTCAAGGTAAGCCTTTTTTTTGTTTATGAAATTAAAAATTTTATATTAATAATTTAGTTTATTGAATATGTTTATTTTATACAATTTTTTTGTTATTCATATATATATATCATAAAAAATATTTTTAGATCTGTCAACTGATTATAATGTATAATGATGTACAATTAAAACTCTATAAATTAATAATGTCAGAACCGGAGAAATTTATTAATTTAGAGAGTTATTAATTTATTGATAAATTAATAATTATTAATTTAAAGAGTTTTTAAGTAATTATACTGTACATACCAAACAAAAAGGCAAATTAGTCTATGACTTTTAAAATTACATTGCAAGAGATGAGTTAAATTAATAATGAGCTCAAATAGACTTGAACTTTAAAGGAAAACAGACAACTATTGAATCATATTTCAATAGAGTGTAATATATTTTTTTCAGTTTCTATGAATTATTAATTTATGATTTTCTTGGGACCGAAAATTATAAAGGGATCTCACGAAAAATTATTATCTTATTATTTTATCGAGATTTTCAATTTTTTACATTGGCCCAAGTCGGGACCGAACAAATTTATTATTTTAGAGAATTTATTAATTTACCGAGTATTAATTTAAAGAGTTTCCATTGTATACATGCATTGCATGAATAGAGATATGGTGGTATACTTCATAATACCATGTATCAAATGAGTACATGAATCTCACGTAACATGCTAATGAGTATTTATGTATGTAGTCAGGGCCGGTCTAATGAGTTTTAATGCCCTGGGCGAGATAATAATTTTATGCCCCTATCCGAATAAAAATTGTTGTTCGCTACAAGGGTAGACTCAAAATAAACACTCAGCCATTACAAACCAAAATGGAAATCCATTCAGATAAGTCCACTGTAAGATGCAAACCTTATTGCAATTGCCATCAACCAAGTGTGGAGAAGATATTCTATGAGAGAGGTCATAGGTAGACAAAACATCTTTCAGCGTGCTGTTTATGTTTTAGCTCATAAAAGAATTAGCTAAAAGCTACAAAAACCCAGAAGAAAGCTTGACAAGTAAACCTATCAAGCCCTTCCAAGCGCAACCAACATGGAACAATCAACTTGTCATTTAACAGGCAGTGAAATATGAATATAGGCAAGAACGCACATAAAAAAATCAAAACTTTTCAGCTTCTGATATAAAGAATAAAGATTTATGAGGTTAATAAAACATTGGTGATATCTGGGAACTTCTCTTTAATGGCGGCTTTGATTCCCGATCCAATCGATTCGGGACATGTGTAGTTCACAACGCATTCCCCGCCATCAATGGAAAATACTTCAACGCTCCCACTGTAATTCTTGATAGCCGGTCTCAGTATATCAAGATGATGATTCACTGCTGTTTACTCGCGAATGCCAAACAAATTTCAATTTAGATGAATAATCTTTGTTTTGTTATTTTCGACGAATCTCAAGTTTGGTATAGAAAATTCACCTCGACGGTTGTTTCCTTCACAACATCGTCGTACACTTGCCAGATTTCCTTGACTGCATCCCCGAATTTTTCTTTCAAAACCTTTTCAATCCCCATTTTCATAGTGGTTGTTGAGCTAGGGCAGCTCTCACATGCTCCTGAAACTCGTTCAATTCTACATTAGCCAAAAGCACATGGATAATTAAATCATGAAACGAAGATAAAAAGAGTGACCTAGGAGTTTGAGAGAGACGACGCCGTCTTCGACGGACAAAACGTCGACGTTTCCACCATCGAAGATCAAGTAAGGCCTCACATCCTCCAAACCAGGTCCACGTTTTGAGCGGTGAGCTCGAACTACTTCGATGAGTACAGCCCGGAAGACGAGCCGGTGGCCGCGCCTGAGCCGGGGCTCGACGCTTTTACGGCCATTTTCAGTCGAATTTTTTCCCGAAGGGACCCGTCTGTGTTGATTTAGGGTGAGTATAGAGGCACAACAATACCTGAATTATCTTTGTGGCTACAGGAAACTTAGTAAAACTGATGCCCCTATATGTTACCTTGGGCCGTCTCCCATCTGACACATGTATTGGGCCGGCCCTGTATGTAATCATCAATAATATACAAAACTACATGTATCAAATGAGTACATGAATCTCACATAATATGTTAATGTAAGACATTTTAATTGAAAAAAATTTAACACCTAATTAAAGAAAACGATATAAGTTATACAACTATTTTTATTTTAAGCCTTTAAAATTTTATATTAAGAAAGAAAAAGGTTCGCACAATAACCGAGAGAGTAAATTATGGTTTCGGGGGGGGTTATATTCTAGACGCGTGTCTTGGCATGCCTGAGGGGGAATGGGGCCCACTGCTCGAATCGCAGGAAATCCCGTTGAAAATTCGAATTCGCATGGGTGGGAACTGTTTTTTTCCCAACGGAAGAAGCAAATCGGACAACTTTCTTGTTCGAATTTGACAATCACTAACATCGTTACACCTAGTTCCAGATAAGAATGAGATTAAAAAAAGAAAAACAAGAACATATTCTCCTCCGAGGTGAGAAAATTTCGAGGTCGTTTGGAAAATGAAAACCCGGCACGGGAATGGACAGGACACCTCGTATAAGTACACATCTTAACCTCTCTTTGCAACTACTATTCTTTGTTCGAATTTTCAAAATTGGAATAATTATTAAAAAGGGGAGTAAAGTGCGGAAGAGAGCGAGAGAGAGAGAGAGAAGAAAACCCTCGGTTTGGTTATTCTTCATTTGGATTCAAAAACCGCCCTTACAACTGCGAGTCTGCTACCGTCTGTCTATTACCAAATCTTAAACGCTTCCTCTGTTTCTCTACTCTCGCCGTTTTGATCAGGCCGTGGCGGCGGAAATGAGCGTTGAGGGTGGGGCCACTCTACTTCATGATGCTGCCTTGCCATAATGACCGTTCTTCACGACTCCCTAAGATCCGATGTCGGCGTTTGCGTCAGAGCCGTACGGGAACCGCCTTCGTTGCGGTTGCCGCCTTGATTTTCTCCACTATTGCCTGGCTATCTCTTGTTTTCTCCAGCGCCAACACCACTCAACGTTGGCGTCGTTTTAAGTACTGGGAAGGTAGCCCCCATTCACTCTCCGGTTCAATCCCTTGGTCATATTCTCCTAATCGCCTTCCGATTCCTCCTCTTTCTCCTCGGCTTGAGTCGCCGCAAGTATCTCCTCGTAACCGCAACCTCTCGGAGCGTGGAAATCGAAAACGAGGGATTTCAGTAAACGACATCGTTTTCGGTATAGCAGGATCCGCCCATCTATGGAAGCAGCGGAAAGAGGTAGTTCGGCTGTGGTGGCGACCTTTGGAAATGCGGGGTCACGTTTGGTTAGAAGAGTGGGTTCCACCTAAAGAAACCGACGATTCGCTTCCGCCGATCATGGTTTCCGAGGACATTTCAGGTTTCCGTTACACTAACCCAACGGGTCACCCCTCCGGACTCCGAATCTCCCGCATTTTAACGGAATCCTTCCGTCTTTGTCTGCCTGACGTCCGCTGGTTTGTTTTAGGAGATGACGACACCGTTTTCAACGTGGACAATCTGGTAGCAGTCTTGAACAAATACGATCATTCCGAGATGATGTACATCGGAACACCCTCAGAAAGTCACTCCGCCAATGCGTACTTCAGCCACTCCATGGCATTTGGCGGCGGCGGAATCGCTATCAGTTATCCTCTCGCCGAGGCTCTCTCTAAATTCCATGACGATTGTATTGAGAGGTACCCGAAGCTTTATGGAAGCGATGACCGTCTACACGCTTGCATAACTGAACTTGGTGTTCCTCTAACTAGAGAACATGGTTTTCACCAGGTAATCAGAAAAAATATTATTGGAAATTCAGCTAAGTGATATAGTTAAACATGACAAACTAATTGAATAATTGTTTTGATAGTGGGATATTAGAGGAAATGCGCATGGCCTTTTATCTTCTCATCCAATTGCACCATTCGTTTCAATTCACCATGTTGAATATGTGGATCCATTTTATCCCGGACTGAGTAGGTTGGACAGTTTAAAACTTTTTACAAAAGCTATGAAAACTGAACCCAGGAGCTTTCTGCAACGATCAATCTGTTATGACCATGAACGACATCTCACCTTTTCAGTTTCACTTGGTTATGTTGTTCAAGTGTTCCCGAATATTGTGCTACCTCGTGAGCTAGAACGTTCAGAGCATACTTATATTGCCTGGAATAAATTAGGGAATCCGCAAGAATTTGATCACGACACTAGGAAATCATACAAATCTGTTTGCAAAAAGCCAGTTCTGTTTTTTCTCAAAGATGTAATGAAAGATGGCAATGCTACATTGGGTTCCTATGCCCGGGTCAAGGCCAAAAATGATCTGAAGAGAAAGGTTTTCTGCTTTCCACATTCCCCTCCGTTGCAATATGTTCAGAATATCCAGGTTGTTGGCAATCCTCTAGGAAAGAATTGGCATCTGGTGCGGCATATTCTCATATGTGTTTTCCTAAGTTATTCTCCTTGTGTAGTTTAAGGTATTTCCGGTCTCATGATGGTTTCTATGTACTGGCAGGCGCCGCGTCGGTTGTGTTGCAAGGTAAACAATACTGGTGATGAAGCCCTTCGATTAACAGTTGGCCAGTGCGAGAAGGGAGCTCTCAGTTCGTTTACTGATTCTCTGTGAATGATCGAGGGATGCTGTTGATTATATATTCAGGCTCAAGGTAGACCTCAAGCTATTTTGTGCTTTATGCTCTTTTTGCTGCATGGGAGTTTTTGGGCTGTTCCTTGAGATTGACAGTGGGCACTTATATTTTTTTTACTTCCCTATATCATCTATTGGAGTGGTTTGTTGTATACACTACCCAGTTGATGGAGTTGAAGATTGGGTTGCAACTTCAGCTTAGTCATTCAATTCTTGCCTTCATTTTTGTTCAGAAGGTAACTCATCATTTACCGATGGCTAACATTTGTGCTTGATGATGCGGTGAAACTGATTGTTATTTGTGGATATCAGAAATTAAACTAGTTAATTTTTTATTTGATTTGTCTCAAGATTCTCAGAGTTGTGTACTATTTTGGTATTTTTCATGGTTTTGGTTGAGCTTGCATAATTGAAAAGAGATGCTAGTTTGGAATAAACCGACTCTCCAATCTAGTCGTTCTTGTAAACAATTTTGTGATTGCAGAATGACTAGTTCTGGAAAGGGAGGAATATGATAGTTTGTTAAAGAGGAACAATCTTATGTTAACGTCGTCTGTTTTAATTGTACGCATATGGATCTTGAGACTCTGCAAAGAACCTGATCTGTTTGTGGTTAGCTAGTAGCTACTCAGCACGGTTTTGTTAACCGTAACTAACTATTCAATGCAAGCCATGTCGACTCAATATTTAGGTATAACCTATGAGGTTTTAGCTACTCCATTCCACTAACTGAGCCCCTTTCGTTTCGATTTCCGTAGTTTATTCGTTTATTTTAACGTTGAACAGATAGATCCATATCGACTCTGAGGCATGAACTGATAGCTGTCTGGTTTGCTTGTTTCTTGTTTCTTCTGGGGGAATTTTTATTTTAATGATTGATGATTGTTACTGAGAGTTGAAATTAGGAAAACGGGGTGTCTGTCTGTCACTAATGTTATGCCTTAGGTCATCAACGTTGATTCAATGGCTGAAACAGTTGTATCTTTCAGTGGTGTGTGATGTGCATGATCTGGCATTCTGATGAAAGTAGTTTTGTGAAATTAGGGGCATTAGTCGGAATATTCCTCTTTTTCTTGTACCTTTTCTTCTTTTTTGCTGTATATCTGTTTGATGCTCAGTTTAGTGTATATATATATATATTCTACGTACAGGATTTTGTTTTGTTTCGGAGGAAAGCAGATGTGGACCCGTCTGAATTTAGTATTCAGTAAAATGAATTCTCTTTCTACATTTTGGGTCTCACCTGGGATCAGTACTCCATCTGCCAGCTTTGAGCTCTCTTACTGATTTTAGGTAAAAAGCTTAGGTGGCCAAAACCCTAATGGAATGGACTGTGATTAGGGATGGTCACCGGGTGGGACAGGGTGGTTTTTTGGCTGTCACGACCGAAATAGGTGACCAAAACCTCTTCCTACTAAGATAATGAACTTTCTTTGAGCATCACTTGTCTGACGATACGGTCCTCCAGCTTATCTTTCCCTGCTCTGTTAATTTTTGGATCGAATTTGCGTGATTGAGATTCTGGTCGACACTGTCACCGGAGCTTATGAACCACCGAAAGTGGATTTGGATCGTTGTCGAACATTGAATTTTTGGGCTTAACGGAATGCAAATGTGGGATATATAATAAAAATCATATTATACATGACTATAATCTATTTAAGTATGACCATTAGCGTAAATCAATCAACTTCAGTGATAAAAAAATTATAATTATTCTCGAGTTTGAGCATCATGAGTATTAAGGCGTGAGCGTTCAATATAAATAATTAGAGTTAGAGGTATTAGCGTTTAATGTCAAATAATTAAAAATCAGAGGTGTCAACGTTTAATGTCAAACAAATGAGTGAGTGTTAACATATATGGTCTTATATTTACTCTATATTAATAAAAAAAATACTATTCACTCTCGATTTTCATTTAATAGTTCTGTTAGAAAGTAGAATACTATTTATTTTAACTCATTTTTTTTAACTATTTTATTTTACTATGTTATCATCTTCTGAAAAGTTTTAAAAATCTTAAAGTTTGATCCTCATATATCGTCGTTAATATTGTTGTTCTTTGACATATTCTCCGATCAATTAGACATTAATAAAATTTCCTCATTGTCCCTTAACAACATACCATATTAGATTTTATCCAAATCTTATTAAAACTCTTAAAAACTCAAGGTAAGAGGAACATGACTTTAACCTGTGATCTTCATTGTCTGATTAACATAGAGTCATGAAATACTGTCTGTTTTCTCCTTCTGCACATCCCCACCATTGTGATCTAAAAGAAGATGCTCCGGCATAAAAAAAAAGAGAATAAAAAAACTAGATTAAAGAAATTGAGAAGAGAGATTTCAGGGGTATTTTCATAAAATTGCCTATTTTAGGTCCTTGTCATAATTATTAAAGAGTATATGACTTGTCATAACGCCGTTAAAAAAACTAACGATAGTGTGATAAAAAACACAGTATCGTTAAAAGTTAAATGACCAAACTAATTTTTTTAAAAGTTTAGTGACGAAAATGAAAAGTAATCAGAGTCGAGTGGCTAAAATTTGTAGTTCACCCAATTTTCATCGTGCCATTGTGTGGTTTAGAGACGTTGAAATCACAGTTTACATCACCCTTCGATTTACAACGTATCGACACTTGACTTACGCCATGGTTTCTTCAAAATATATGAGCTGTCGTTTTCTCAAAACCCTAATCCAATACCTTGCAGATTTAGGGGAATATAATCATTTTCTAAATTACGCATACAATTTCAAACCCTAATTTAAATTCTTGCGAACTTAGAGGAACAAACATTTTCTGAATTACCCGGACATTTTCAAACCCCAATTTCAATCGCACAACCTAACATTGACCGGGGAAGACCTACTTTTTCCGCTTGTTTCCTGAGCCGCCGGCAAGAACCTACTAGAAGAAACCCCCAGCATCACCTTTCCAATTCATCCGATTGATTTTCACATTGGCTCCGGCCTATCCCTAATTAAAAAAAATGGAGGCTAATAATAATAAAATTAAAGGAGGGGACACATCTGACTCAGATGTACTGGCAACGGCATCAAATAAAAACTCACCACTTCCCACACCGGGAATCTATGATGTAATAAAAACCATTAAATAATCACTTCTGTACATAGACCCCAAAGATTATTTGTAAACTGCAGCCATTGATAGTATTAAAATAAACAAAATATAAAGCATGAATTGTGTAGAGATACCATTCCAACTAGTAAAGAATAATCAATTTGAATCGAGTTGAAAAAAATCATATTTTCGAATCGAGTCGAGTTTTACTTACCCCTACTAAAAAGTACTCGTTAAATAATTCAAGTATTCAGATCCAAATAGAAATAAAATAAATAAATAGATTTAAACTCATTAAATGATTTCAGTATAAAGAGGATGTTGTTCTCCTCGAAGTGATTAAAATGTTTGTTTGTGTTATTAATAATTAAGAAATATTCTGGAATTAAAATAAAAACTAAATTAAAATAAAGATTATAATTTAAAAAATATATAATATAATTAACTCAAATAAATAAATAAGTTTATATTCAAATTTTATATATACGAAAAAGAATATGTGTAATAAGGGGTGATCTGTAATAAGGGAAGGAGTGATGGGGAGGTAAAGGCAAATGGGTGGCAAATGGGGGAGAAACGCAACGCACGTTCTTACCTTAGCGCCTTATAAAATGCGGGGCCCTCTGACAGCTGTTCCAATGTGGTGCTGTCCTATCCTCCCTTCCATATTTCCCCCCAAATTATTCATTCTTTATAATAATAATAATAATCTAATTAATTATTCCTAAAATAAATAAACATAAAACACGAACCAATTTACTTTAGTTACTAAATGAATCGTTATTGTTCCTAAAAGTTACGGGTTCGAGCATCAACGATGTAACAGAATGATTAAGCGTTTATTGTCAAATGATTAAGAATTTAGAACATATACTACTTTATAACCGTCTTAACTTAGTCAAAATAAATAAATAAATAAACAGAGAGGTAGCTTAAGGAGGGAGATTAGTATCTTACCAGCAAATAATTAAGCAGGTATTTGGGGTTCACGTACTTGAATGGGAACAGGGTGTAGGCAGATCCTTCAGGGGATTCTTAATTTTGTTATTAATTAATTATTTATTTGTTAATTATAAAAAGCAATGGCCCCTATCACATGCAACTTAGTAAGCGGGACCCACGAGTTTTGTTTAACTAATGTAAGATTAATATAAATAAATAAAATATTGTCCCTTGGTAGATCTATTTCCTTGTTATAAAAATGGGTAAATTGTATATTCCACCACTCAATTTTCTTCTCACTTTTATTTTGATAATTGAAGTTTTTAATTTTTAGTATTTTACTAATTGAAATTTTGATTTATTTCTATTCTGATCATTCCACCGTTAAATACCTAACAATACTATGATTATACGTTTTTCTTTTTAAAATAATGAAATGACGCCAATTTTCTTTCTTTTTTTTTTGTGAAAAACTTTTGGTTTCTAATACCTTTAATTTCTCGACGATGAAGCATATTTTTTCAAATCTCAGTTGGTAAAGCGCAAGGCTCTTAATCTTGTGGTCGTGGGATCGAGTCCCACGGTGGGCAATTCATAATTCTGACTGCTGGAGGTCTTCCACGAAGCTGCTCTCAACCTGGCGTTGGGGCAGCCTACTACCCTACCTCCCCCTCACCCCATTACATATGGGAATAAGGTCAGCTAATTTGATTCTACGTTGTGACGAACATTATAGATGAAAATGGTATATATTTTTATGAATTTTGGAGAAAGAAATGTAAAACTTTTATCTTTAGAGAAATAAGGTAAAATAAAAAAGAACGAGTGTCATGGATAACATGCCAACAAAAACCAATCCACATGGCTGTCATGTCACTCTTCCTTTATGATTTAACATCCGAGTGATCAAAATAGGAGAGAATAAAACAATCAATAAGTAAATTAAAAAAATTAAAATTTAATAACAAACATAGGAGTAAGAGGAAAAATAAGTTACGAAATTTGTAATTTATCTTTTAAAAATTACAAAAAATAAAAGTAATAAAAATATTTTTTTATTAGTTTTTGATTGAAAGTGAGAAATTTGATCACTATTATTTTTCTAACATTCGTAACAATTTGTAATAACATTATGTTAAGAGTAATAAATAAAATTTAATTCCGACGGATTAATGTATA